GAGACAGAGTCGCCTAGGCTGGAGTGCCAGTGGTGACGATCTCGCTCACTGCAAGGATCTTGGCTCCCTGCAACCTCCACCTCCCAGGTTCAAGTGATTCTCCTGCCTCAGCCTCCTGAGTAGCTGAAATTACAGGTGCCCGCCACCATGCCCGGCTAATTTTTGTATTTTTATAGAGATGGGGTTTCACCATCTTGGCCAGGATATTCTTGATCTCTCGACCTCGTGATCCACCTGCCTTGGTCTCCCAAAGTGTTGGGATTACAGGCATAAGCCACTGCGCCTGACCTGCTGTCCCATTCTTAACATAGTCAAAGATGGCTGGGTAAACTCCAGGAATCACGTCTGTATATCCAGCTATAAGCAAGGTGGAAGGGGAAGGGGAAGAAAAAGGTTGCAGGATGCAGGCCAGCTATATTTTAAAGAGGTTCCTGGGCTGGGCACAGTGGTTTACACCTGTAATCCCAGCACTTTGGGAGGCAGAGGCCAGCGGATCATCACCTAAGGTCAGGAGTTCAAGACCAGCCTTTCCAACAAGGGGAAACGCTGTTTCTACTAAAAATACAAAAACTAGCTGGGCGTGGTGGCGGGCACCTGTAATCCCAGCTACTTGGGAGGCTGAAGCAGGAGAATTGCTTGGACCTGGGAGGTGGAAGTTGCAGTGAGCCGAGATTGTGCCACTGCACTCCAACCTAGGTGACAGAGCAAGACCCCATTTCTCCATAAAAAAAAAAAAAAAAAAAAAAAGAGGTTCTTAAGAAACTGACACCTAACACCTCTGCTTACATCACTTGGGGCAGATCTTGTTAGCTGCAAGGGATGCAGAGAAACGGTGTTTATTCCGGCCTACTATATACCCACCTAAAAGTGGTAGGTTTTAATTCTCAGGAAGAGAATGGGGAAAATGAAACAGTTCTAACATAAATGCCCTGTTTCTACAACTGCCTAATCTGGTCTCTTAGTCTGTAATGCTTGTCACCCTTCCCTGAGTAAATTATAATCATCCTTTAAAGATCAGTCCAAATGTCACCTCCAGACCCCTAAAGGTACAAGGAATCATTGCCTTCACTGTTCTCAGGACATTCTACATGTTCCTCCAGATCTTGAAGCATGGTGTTACTTACATTCCTGTATGCCTACTCTTAGAGTGGGCACCAGGGGCCTGCTCCTTCACCAGGACTCAGGCTCACCACTCTCCCTAAACCCCAACCTTACGGATTCCCCTGGAATAATCCTTTTTTTTTTTGAGACAGAGTCTCTCTCTCTTGCCCAGGCTGAAGTGCAGTGGCACGATCTCAGCTCACTGCAACCTCTGCCTCCCAGGTTCAAGTGATTCTCCTGCCTCACCCTCCTGAGTAGCTGGAACTACAGGCACACACCACCACGCCCTGCTAATTATAGGTGTGAGGCACCTCACCTGGCCTAAAAGAACCTAATCTTAATTTTACTCCTGTGGCCTCTGGCAGCCTTCCCTCCTTCTTAGGCTTTTTTCACTTGCCTGCATTGATCATCTGTATAATCACTTGTCCCATTAACTTAGAGGACAGGGAACAGGAAAGAGTTGGGGCTGATCTTGAGCCCAGAAGGTGGCAAATTTTCCCCAGAGGGCAATGCAGACCTTTCCCAGCCCCAGGCTGAAGCTGAGTCCTTTTTTCCAGCGGACACACAAGATGCTCCCAAAGAAAAGATGATTATGCTGGGAGTCTGTGTGCGAATTGGCACACAATTAAAACTTCCGGCCGGGCGCGGGGGCTCACGCCTGTAATCCCAGCACTTTGGGAGGCCGAGGTGGGTGGATCACGAGGTCAGGAGTTCAAGACCAGCCTGGCCAACATGGTGAAACCCCGTCTCTACTAAAAATACAAAAATTAGCCGGGTGTGGTGGCATGCGCCTGTAGTCCCAGCCACTCGGGAGGTTGAGGTAGGAGAATCACTTGAATCTGGGAGGCGGACGCTGCAGAGAGCCGAGATCACCCCACTGCACACCAGCCCGGGCAGGGTGAGACTTTGTCTCAAAAATAAATAAATAAATAAATAAATAAATAAATAAATAAATAAATAAATTAAATACATAAATAAATAAAACCTTCTGAGCCAGTTTTTTCCATATTGCTCCACTCCTAAAATCCCTTGGTGCCTCCCTAGGGCTTCAGGGTAAGTCCTGACATCATGGTCCTTTGTGATCTGACCCTCGCCCATGTCTCCCACCTCAGTTCCCACATTTCCTCCATGTCTAAGGCAGCAGCTACACTTGACTGCAGTTCCCTGAGTGCCAGGCTCTCAGGCCTCTGAACTCTCATATGTGCTGTTGGCTTTGCTTGATATGCAGTTTCCTGCTCGGTATTCAAGACTGGCTGTAGAAGATACCTCCTCTAGGAATCCTTCCTTGATACCCTCAGGCAGAACTGGGGCCCCTGTGTGTCCTCCCAAGGCCCTCTGAACACCTCCATGTCAGTGACCTCATCATTACACTGTACTGGTCAATCTTACACTAGGCTAAGCAACCTGAGGGCCAGCAGCACTTCTTTCATTGGTATCCTTAGCTTTGGGCACACACTAGGCACACAATAAATGAGTCCTAAATGAGGCTCCTGAGTGCTGGGTACAGAGGGCCAGGTGATAAGGGAGACACCCTGAAGCCTCTGTTCTTTGCTTTGAGCAAATGAATCGTGAAGCAAATACCAATATGTCACATGTCAAGTTCTTCTCTCGGCCTGAATAAAGCTCACTCATTTGTCAGGGCCCACCTTCAAACTTCACAGAAGCATACCCCTGACCCTGGGGCCTAGGGCAAGATCTTCATTCTGCTCTTACAGCACCCCACAGATCTTCTTTACAGCATTAGTCACTATGGCAATTACTGTGAGACTGTTTAATGCAGGGTTTATCAATGACCTCATGAACATTGAACATTTGGGAGCTGAATTTTTTTTTTTTTTGAGATAGGGTCTTGCTCTGTCGCCTAGGCTGGAGTGCAGTGGCATGATCATGGCTCACTGCAGTCTAGACCTCCCAGGCTCAGGTGATCCTCCCACCTCAGCCTCCTGAGTAGCTGAGACTACAGGTGCACAGCACCACGGGTGGCTAATGTTTGTATTTTTTGTAGAGATGGCGTTTCACCATGTTGCCTAGGCTGACCTTGAACTCCTGGGCTCAAGTGATCCGCTCGCCTTGGTTACCCAAAGTACTGGTATTACAGGTGTGAGCCACCGCGCCAGGCCTTGGGTAATTCTTTGTTGCAGGAGGCTGTTGCGTGTCCTGTGGTGGGTTTAACAGCAGTACTCACTCTGCCTGCTGGATGCCAGTAGCAACCTCCTCCCCAAGCTGTGACTGCCAGATATATTCCCAGACATTGTCAAATGTCTCCTGGGGGTAAAATTGCCTCTGGTTGAGAACCACTGGTATACTGTCTATGTCTTCAGTTAGAACGGCAGTTCCATGAGAGTGGAGACCCCACGTCCTCGTTCCTCAGGGCTCTGATGACCTCAGCCTGGCATTGACTCTTCCGTGCAGCTGATCCTCCCGAAGCCCTGGACCGGGCCGCACACTCCTGAGAAGCACAGCAAAGCGCTCGTTCTACAGGACCCTCCTCTGTGGGCTTGTGCAGCTTGAAGCCAGGGATGGTGGCCTACTGGTCTTTGCCCTGGCAGTGTCCACCCAGGCTTTGCTTTCAGGGTGGTCAGAAAATGATTACTGGGGGAACACGTGACAGAAAAGCAGGAAGGGGGCCTCTTGGTGCTGTGAGCTGACCAGTGCAGAGTGACGGTCCTTGACAGGGATGACTTCTACTTTTTGGAAGGAAGAGTTCAGACTTTATTAGATACCTTAAGGCTGGCCCTGGGGAAAACCACAGCTGGCTTCACCATCCTCCTAATAGGAAGAGGCAGTGAGGAGAGCAGTAGTCTGGGGAAGGTGGGAACCCCGACTGAGGGGCCTGCACCCAGCCCCTCAGATCTGCTTCCCCTCTCACGTCACTCCGGCTCTTTTGGGATGATCACATGGTGAGAATCTGCTTTGAAGACATGAAGGGCTTCATGGAGGCTTCCAAAGCAGACTGGTAGTCCTGCAGCGGGACCTGGGAGCAGGCAGGGGCTGTGAGTTGGCCTCGGCGGATGAGATCGCACAGTGTGAGGATCAGCTCCTTGAACTGGTCTGCGGGAGGTTGGAGGAAATCAGACAGGGGAACAGCAGCTGGAGATTGGTGAGATGTGGCACGGGGCTGCCCTATGGACAGGAGCTGGCACCGAGCTCCAATAAAGCCTTGAGTCCTGGCTGTGCCAAGGATGGGGTGGCTGTGGAGGCAGCCTGGTCCCTGCCTGTCTTTAGGACAGTGAGGTCCAGGTGGGGAGAGAGGAACACAGGAGTGGCTCTACGGTCTGAGGGGCAGGCAGGCAAAGACCACTCTTCAGAGTGGTGATTAAGAGGGCACAGACTCACAGAACCTAGCCGCCGTGGAGCCAGGAGCACTGAATGGTGGGAGGAGAAGGATGGCGGAGGCAGGGAGGCCGGCACAGACTCACAGAACCTAGCCGCTGTGGAGCCAGGAGCACTGAATGGTGGGAGGAGAAGGATGGCGCAGGCAGGGAGGCCAGAGGAGGCACGGGGAGGGAGTGGGTGTGCCTGGCATGCCAAGTGATGTGGAACAGTCGAGCTCTGCTCAGGAAAAGGAGCTCTCCCTGAGAGCCCAGGACTCCCTTAGAACCCCACGACCTGAGGCCACCAACATCCCCTCCCTGGGCCTGCCTCCTCTGAAGGACCCTATATGGTACAGGAAGTTGAGAAGTGAAGGCCTTAGCTGAGAAGTGTTTTTCCATAGACATAAATTCATTCAACCTTCAAATCTAGTCATATCTACTGGTTGAAACACTTCAGTGGCTCCTCAGTTGCCTTTAAGAGTGAGTCTTGGCTGGGCGCGGTAAATCATGCCTATAATCCCAGCACTCTGGGAGGCTGAGGCGGGTGGATCCCTTGAGCCCAGGAGTTTGAGACCAGTCTGGGCAACATGATGAAACCCCATCTCTACTAAAAATACAAAAACTAGCTGGACATGGTGGCATGTGCCTGTGGTCCTAGCTACTTGGGAGGCTGAGGGGAGGATCACTTGAGCCGAGGAGGTTGAGGCTGTAGTGAGCTGTGAACACACCACTGCACTCTAGCCAGGGCAACAGAGCGATACCTTGTCTCAAAACAAATAACCCCCCAAAACAGCAAAAAAACCCCAGTGAGTCTGAATGCCTTAATCAGGTTTATAAGGCCTTTTGTAACCTGGTCACAACCCACTCACCCAATTTCTCAGCCCCAGCTCAGATCTAGCACTCCAGGTCGCTCGGAAGCACTTCAGTGCACATACGATTTTCGATTTTTTCTGCCTGAAACACTGTATTCACGCCACCACCTTCCTCCCCTTCACTTGGATAATCCCATGTTATTCTTCATCCTGAGTTTGGAGATCCCACTCTAGGGAGCCAGTCTTCCAGGAGATGAACAGGAGATGATCTGTTCACATCCTGGCTGCATCCCTCCCCGTGGGGAGGTGACTTTGGGCATACCACTTAACCACTCTGAACCTCGATTTCCTCCTCTGTCAAACACGGCTAACAAGAGTTTAAACTTATGAATTTAAACTGAGGCAGAGATTAAGTAACTTGCCCAGGGTCCCACCACTGTCTAGGCAGAACCTCTACCCAGTAGTGTGGAAGCAGATTTGAACCCAGGCAGGCTGGCTCCAGAGTCTATTCTCTCTACTTTGCTATCCATCTTTCCCCACTGTCAGCTCTTCAGGATGGGGGCAGTGTCTGTTTTGTTCTGTGCCCCTAAGACTAACCTAGTTTAGTCCAATAACTATTTGCTGACTGTAGCTGGCCTAAGGCTATTCTCTTTGATCCTTCTGTGGGACTGGGACCCAATCACCCCTCCAGGGCTCAGTAGCTGGTCATTTCTGCTGCCATTTTTAGGCACTGCCCTCATCTGTGACTCCTTGCACTGGGCCGTGCACTCACCTGGACTGTGGTCCTTCTTCCACTGGGACAACCAAAAGCCCCGAAGTTTGAGATCCTTAAAAATGAGCAGGCTCTGCGGACACAGGAAGGACATGCTGGGCTCCGAGGGCAAGAACTTCAGGCATCGCTTAAGGGTACAGACTCCCCTCCAGGGACGGGGCATTGCCTAAGTTTAGACAGCTGTCGTGCCAGGGGATGTGGCCTGGCTGAGGTGTCCGGCCCGGCTCCAGGCATGCCTCCCTCCGACCCAGCTTACCACAGAGGCTATGACGGGCTGCTTGGCCATCCCCCCATAGGTTACCATGGTTCCTCCACGCCTAAAGAGTCCAAAGAGAACAAAGACTGGGTGCAAAGCAGAGACAGAGCCCTTCCTGAACCTGCCATGGTGCTTCTGCTTCAACCCTGGTTCCTAAACCCTGCTCTCAGAATCTCTGGGGAAGGTTGAAAAATACAGATTCCAGCTGGGTGCAGTGGCTCATGCCTATAATTCCAGCACTTTGGGAGGCTGAGGCAGGTGGATCACTTGAGCCCAGGAGTTCAAGACCAGCTTAGGCAACAAAAGGAGACCCCATCTCTATTAAAAAAGTACAAAAAATTAGCCAGGCAAGGTGGCATGCCTGTAGTCTCAGCTTCTTGGGAGGCTGAGGTGGGAGAATCACTTGAGGGCATGAAAGTGAGGCTGCAGTGAGCCCTGATCACACTACTGCACCCTAGCCTGGGCAACAGAGTGAGATCCTATCTCAGAAAATAAATAAATAAATAAATGCTGGGGGTGGCAGCTCACACCTGTAATACCAGCGCTTTGGGAGGCCAAGGTGGGAGGATTGCCTGAGCCCAGGAGTTTGAGACCAGCCTGGGCAACACAGTGAGACCCTGTGTCTACAAATAATAATAAAAAAAATTAGCTGCGCATGGTGGTACATGCCTGTGGTCCCACTCAGGAGGCTGAGGTGGGAGGATCACTTGAGACTGGGAGGTTGAGGCTGCAGTGAGCTGAGATTGCACTGCTGCACTCCAACCTAGGCAACACAGTGAGACTGTCTCAGTATAAAACAAAACAACAAACCAGATTCCTAGGTCCAATCCCAGACCCAATGAATCAGGATACAAGAATGTATATTAAACACACACACACACCCCATCTGGATGACTTGGATGTTTAGCCAGGGTTGGGAATCCACTGATCTAACCCAACCAGTCAGGCTTTGATTAAGTGCTGAAAAGAAACTTGCTCTCCCCAGATGAGCTCGAGGCCTGAGTTCAGCCTTGGCTCTGCTCTCACTACAGGTGTCCGACCTTGGGTGATGCAGTGAAAATGGCCCAGACCTCATCTCTTCATCTGTCAATACTCATTCTAAGAATCAATGTGAGGAAACAGCTCTACAGATATCTACAGATAAGGAGTGATGTGGATGGTGGAGGGAACAATGACAAGCGTCCTCTCACTGCAGGAGGTGCCTTTTCAGTACCTGCTGTCTGACACCCACACCCCGACGTCGGCTGACATACGGGAGTGAAGCGAATATAATTTCTAAGTGAATAAGCCTGGAGTTCACATGCTTGACTTAACCTGTGTTCCCCTCCCCACTCCCTGACTCTTCTAGGAGTCTGTTGATCAAGGATGACTTCAAGCACATTTGGGGACAACACAAGGTAGACTTTGAAAACTACCGAATGGAAGGAGCTGCTGTCCTAGGGCAGGTACTTCTGTCCCTGAGGCTGCTGGGTAGTTTGGTCTTAAGTGCCCCTTGACTGCCACCTGCTGTAGAAAGTAGCTCCTGGGAGCCAAGCCCTCTCTCCTCTGTATCCCTGCTGCACTTGGTCTAATCAGACTAGTAGCTAACACTTACCAGGCTTCTACTATGTGCCAGGCACAGTTCTAAGCATTTTGCATGTACTGCCTCAGGGAATCCTCGTAACAACCTTGTTTTAGAGATGAGAAAGCTGAAGCCCATCCATCATTTGTACAGCAATTTGTATATCACCCAGTGTCCTTTAGACCAGTGGTCCCTAACCTTGTTGGCACCAGGACCGGTTTCATGGAAGACAATTTTTCCGTGGACTGGAGGAAGGAAGATGGTTTTGGGATGAAACTGTTCCACCTCAGATCCTCAGGCATTAGATTCTCATAAGGAGCACGGGACCTGGATCCCTTGCATGCGTGGTTCACAACAGGGTTCACAGGCCTATGAGAATAGAATGTTGCTGCTGATCTGTCAGGAGGCAGAGCTCAGGGAGCCATGCTCGCTCACCCACCGCTCACCTCCTGCTGCGTGACCTGGTTCCTAACAGGCCACGAACTGGCACTGGTCTGAGGCGTGGGGGCCCCTGTGTTAGATTACCCTTCAGAGGCAGAGGGTTTATAAAACCCCCATTTTAAAGATGAAGAGACGGAGGCCTGGATTGCTTTTCACGTATTGTCTAACTTTCCATAGGCCCACAGCTAGTAAGTCACAGACAGAGCTGGGGCTTGAACCCAGTCATTCTGACTCCAGTGCCTACACTCATAACTACTGCACAACGCTTCCTCCTGCAATGACATTGGGATTGAGGTCTGCCACCGGGGCTGTCAGGTATAGGGCTGAAGCGGTGTGCTCAAATGTGGGGTCAAGCCTGGTTCTCCTGCTGACTAGACTTTGGGCCAGGTACCTGACCTCTTTGAGCCTCGTTTTTTTTTTTTTTTTTTTTTTTTTGAGACACAGTCTGTCTCTGAAGCCCAGGCTGGAATGCAATGGCACGATCTTGGCTCACTGCAACCTTCACCTCCTGGGTTCAAGCGATTCTCCTGCCTTAGCCTCCCAAGTAGCTGGGATTACAGGTGTCTACCACCATGCCTGGCTAATTTTTGTATTTTTAGTAGAGACGAGGTTTCACCATGTTGGCCAGGCTGGTTTCGAATTCTTGACCTCAGGTGATCCACTTGCCTCGGCCTCCCAAAGTGCTAGGTTTACATGCATGAGCCACTGCACCCGGCCTGGGCCTCATTTTTGAAAAGTATAAAACAGAGATTAGAACTGCACCCCCTGTCTAGGTGGTTGTGGGAGGGGTAAGTCAAGCACTGCACAGTCTGGTGCATGATGAATACTCACCACAGCGCTCTGGCCACGTGACTCGCCTGCTCATCTAGCCTGTGAGATCTCAGAGGGCGCATCAGTGCCACGGCCCTCTCTGTGCCTGGTAGCTAGTAAGTGCTCAGCAAGTATGTGCTAGCTGAATCCGTGCTACTGAGGGGGTTCCTGCCTTAGTTAGGAAGTGTCTTTTTACGCACACTCTAGCTCAAGAAGGTTATTTTATTTATTTATTTATTTTTGAGACGGAGTCTCCCTCTGTTGCCCAGGCTGGAGTGCAGTGGTGCGATCTCAGCCCACTGCAAGCTCCACCTCCTGGGTTCATGCCATTCTCCTGCCTCAGCCTCCCCAGCAGCTGGGACTACGGCGCCCGCCACCACACCCAGCTAATTTTTTGTATTTTTAGCAGAGACGGGGTTTCACTGTGTTAGCCAGGATGGTCTCAATCTCCTGACCTCGTGATCCACCCGCCTCAGCCTCCCAAAGTGCTGGGATTATAGGCGTGAGCCATCGTGACTGACCTAGAAGCTTATATTAAAGGAAAGAAGAATGAAGGACATGCATTAATATTGTCAACAAGGCTTATCCCCCTTGGTGGTGGGGTGATAGGTAACTTTTATTTCTTTTCTGAGATGGAATCTCCCTCTATCACCCAGGCTGGAGTAGAATGGTGTGATCTCAGCTCACTGCAACCTCCACCTCCTGGATTCAAATGATTCTTGTGCCTCAGCCTCCCGAGTAGCTGGGATTACAGATGCCTGCCACCACACCCAGCTAGTTTTTTTGTATTTTTAGTAGAGATGGAGTTTCGCCATGTTGGCCAGGCTGGTCTTAAACTCCTGACCTCAAGTGATCTGCTCGTCTTATTGGGATTTTATAAGCATGAACCACCATGCCTAGCCAGGTAACTTAAAAAAAAAAATCAAATTTTTTTTTGTAGTGATCGGGTCTCACTGTGTTACCCAGGCTGGTCTCGAACTCCTGGCCTCAAGTGATGCTTTCTCCTTGGCCTCCCAAAGTACTGGGATAATAGGCATGAGCCACAGTCCCAGCCAACAGGAAACTTTTATGCTTAAGTTTTCCTTTGCAATTTTACATGTTTTCAAAATGTTTTGTAATAAGCATAATGTTCCCTTTAAAATTAGAATCTATTTTAAAAGCTAGTACAAATTTGGAAGGTTAAATAAGCTAGGACTAAGTGACTTTTTCAGACATCCCTAGGTTATAAATCCTTGACTATTCCTCTATGGCAGACAGCTTAGCAGTCTACTTCTGGGGTCCCTTGGAAAAATAAAGCTGGATAGGCCTTTTGGTCATCTACAAAGGAGGAGGCTGAGAAAGCAGTGCCCAAATAGCTGGATGACTTTGGTCCTAGTTTCCACTCAACATTGTGCTGACCTGGTCTTGGCTTGAACTGGCCACTGGGACTCGGTCACTTGATGGTCATCCCAGCTAAAGACCTGGAGAGTTCCGGCGAGCTGGACCTGCAGGCCCAAGGGACTTACGCTAACTGCCGCAGCAGCTCTGTGGAGCTTTTCCCACCGACACAGTTGAGAGCAAGCCGTGGCTGGGGCATGTCCTGGAAAGCAACAAAAGTGCAGTGAGGGAGCGACCCCCCTCTACATGTGGGGCCTGAAGCTTGCCCAAGTGCTGTGTTAGAAGGAGGGAGTAAATAAAATGAGATGTTTATGCCTTTGTTTGCGTGCATGCACGCGTGTATGTGTTTATGCCTTTGAACTCACCTTTTTCTCTGCTTAGGAAGGGTCTTTTCTTTCTTTTTTCTTTTTCTTCCTAAGACAGGGTCTCGCTCTGTTACCCAGGCTGGAGTGCAGTGGTGCAATCATGGCTCACTGCTACCTCACCCTCCCAGGCTCAAGCAATCCTCCCACCTCAGCCTCCCGAGTAGCTGGGACTGCAGATGTGTATCATGATGCCCAGATAATTAAAAATTTTTTTGTAGAGACAGAGGTCTCACTATGTTGCTCAGGCTAGCCTCAAACTCTCAGACTCAAGCAATCCGCCTGCCTTGGCCTCCCAAAGTGTTGGGATTATAGGCATGAGCCACCTCATCTGGCCAAGAAGGGCCTTTTCTGTAGCAACTTAATCCTGTTGTCCATTTTAGGATCTGGCAGAACTCATCTTCTCTGGGAAAGAATAGGCAAAGGGCATCTGCATGCAGTTTGGTGGGCTTGGGCTCCCTGTGTGCTCCCCTTTTCAGTCCTTGTGACTTGGCTAATATTATATATGCTGATCTACTGCTTCAGAAATGTTTGCAAGAAGTGCACGCTCTTGAGTGTGTGTCTTTGGTTCCTCCTGATGGTTCAGTAAAAAGGGGCTGAGGGTCTGGTCACTTACTAGGCATGTTGTAGGGTGGAGGTTCTTAAAGGTTAAGAGGCTTTCAGTTCAGAGAGACTGAGGCCAGCTCTGACTCTCCCCCTTATAAACTATATGATTTTAGTTAAGCACTTCCTCTTTTCTAAGTAAAACAGATAGCAATTCCTTTGAATAGCTTTTGTGGAAATTATCAGATAAAATTAGGGCAGGTAGTTGGGAAAGGTTACTTCTTTCCTTTCTCTTTCTGTGTCTCTGTTTCCTCAGGTCCTCTCCTGCCAGTTCTTAAGAGTCACACATGTGGGCTGACATGGCCCACCACAAATGTTTAAAACTGCAAGTCACACTGGGTTTCCTAAACTCTGTCTGTTTCTCGTGCCTCCCTCCCAGCATCTGGGCACTTAATGCATGCTGCTTGCCGCCTGGCTGGGGGAACGGGCTTTAACCAACCAAGAAGAGGCAAAGGGAGGTTTCCAGAGAGGAACAATGGTGCCAGTCCCCAGCTTCTCTAATGCATGTCAACTTTCTTCAGGGAGATGTGCATGGACTGGAGGGGCAATGTCCCTCTTACTAGGTACCTTAAAGAAGTTTTTCATTTCGGGCCTTCTTAGCTCCTCTTCTGTGATGACATGCTCAGCCCCCAGACTCTTCAGTCTGTCACTCAGCTTCTGGATATCAGGTCTGGAAACCAAATATAGTTCCCTGGTCACATCTGCCGGCTTTTTCCACCAAAGTCTCCCAGGACCCCTCTACCACAGCTGGGAGAACCCATGCTTCTTTTTGCAGGAAGCTGGGGTTAGGTTTAAGCCAGGCTTGAGCAGGGACCAGCCACCTAATTTCATCCGGCTTCAATAGCTCTTGGCTGTCTCCTCACTGGAAACAGAGTGAGACTGGGTGGCTTCCACAGGCCCTCACAGCTCAATAGTGCTAGAAGCCATCTGTGCCCAGGGAGAAGTCACTTAACTTCCTGATTTCTTCCTCTGAAAAGACAAACTCCACTTCCCCCTCTATTCAAGGGCTCTTCAGAGTGTTGTGCACACACACTCTAGCCCGGGAGCGGTCCTGGGTCTCTTTGGTTAAGGCAAACGGAATGATTTTTGTTAGTACAAGTGAGGAACTGAAGCTGGTGTCAATTATACTAAGACTGGGCTTCCATGACAGCCACAGCCACATTCATGAACAGTGAGGCTTAGAGAAACTGGACGATACGATGGAGAGTGAGGAAACCGAGTCTGTTACTGACTTGCTGTGTCTTGCAGGGCAAGCTGCTCTCTGAAACTTCAGTTTCCTCATCTGTAAAAGACAGATGATAAACCTGCCTCTGTCTCCTTCCTGTCTGTATTTAGTGCACTTCCAAGTACCACACAAAAGCAAGGGTAAAGGGGCCTTGGGTTAGACGGTTCACAGAAAGAATAATACAGCTCAAAACATTCCCAAATATGATGAACTGGGGTTTTGAAAACATGAGGTTATCACAAGCCAAGAGTCTCAGAAAGTCTTAGCTGTTCAGTAAGAGCAGTCTCCACCTCCTTCCTGCCCTCTCTTTACATTTCAGATTCACTCATCCTATCACCAAAAGCCAGCTGGACTTCATTTCTTAGGGCTGACTCATCTGTTTCAGCCACCAACTCTGTTAGTGACACCTAAGGCCAGTTTATGCTTATGCAAGGGCGCCCTCTGGTGTACAAGTGGGTACCGCAGGGATGGGAGGTGGGAAAGGCCGAAGTCGTGGTCTGGGATGAAGCCTCCTCCCCACACACCTGTCTCGGACCACATTGATGGTTCTTAGGCCCAGGGCTGCGGCGATCTGGATGACTGCTTGCCCCACTCCGCTGTTGGATGCGTTCTGGATGACAGAATCCCCTGTGGAGCCAGGAAGAGAACCAAATCAAGCCTTGTATAGATCTGCAATAGATCAAAGGCTTCCAGCCAGGGATCCTACTGTAGGCAAGGGAGTCCTCAGGCTCAACAGGGACCCAGGACCTGGCTGCTGAGTCTTCTCAGAGCTTACATTGTTTCTCACTGTTCCCCTAATGCCTCTTAAACTTCCACAACACTCACGATGCCTCCCAGGACTTGGTAACTCAGCATCTACACTGGACATAATTTAGACCCTGCCCTGCTATGGAAAAGATTTTATAGCCTTCATAACCCTCCCAACTTTTATGTCCTCAGGTCTTTGCTTAGGTTATTTCCTTGGTTTGCAATGTTTCCCTCCTCTCTTCCTTCCTATTGAAATCCTGTAGATCCTTTGAAGTGCAGCTCAAGTGTAGCCTTCATGAAGCCTTCCTGGATTTTCCCCTCTATGTGCTCCCAAAGTGCTCCGTGGGCCTCTGTATTAATGCACATACCATGGTCTGCCCCGTCTTAGTCTTATACTTTGTTGTATATAGGTCCATTTCTATGAACAGCTTGTAGCTTCTTGAGAGGGAAGGACCGTGCCCTACTCCCCTCCGCGGTGTTTAATAAAGGCGCACTGCCTTGAAATGGGATTAGAGCTGTGCTGGAGAAATTGGCAGCCCCTGAAACAGGGTCCTACAGTTTTGTGGCAAAGCCCAGGTTTAGCTTTGGACCTGGCCATTGGGGAAGGCAGGGTGACATGCTGGGAAAAACGTGGGCTCTGGAATGAGATGGACCTGGGCATGAGTCTCAGTTTCACCAATGATTGTAACTAAACAGACAGGGCAAGTTATGACCTCTGTGAACTTCAGTTTCCTTCCCTTAAAATGTAATCCCAGCTACTAGGGAAGCTGAGGCAGGAGAATCGCTTGAACCCGGGAGGTGGAGGTTGCCGTGAGCCGAGATCACGCCACTGTACTCCAGCCTGGGCGACAGAGCAAGACTCTCTCTATGAAAAAAAAAAAAAAAGTGCCCCTGATTAGAGTCAAATGCATCATGTCCGGGAAAGTGCTTTGTTGACTTTGAAATGCTTTCTGGTTTTTGAGAGACAGCAGGGATCTGTCACACAATGGGCTGAAACTAGAGATCGAGGACTTCCTGGAAGAAGAATGCCCACTCTCCTTCAACAGGGGTCAATGTACAGGTTGTCACCCACTAGTGGATTATGAATCAATCTAGTTGGCTGCAAGCAGCATTTTTTAAAAGTTAAAATTGAGAGGAGAATAAAAAATAACAGAGTATGTCACACATAGTAAGGGTATTTCACGAAACTTTGGTTTCCTATATATATATATATATATATATATATGTCCCTATTTGTATAAACTGATCACAATGTAAAATGTAATTCTCACCATTTGTCAAGATCCTAAGTTGACTCAACAGTTCTGGCCACATCAGCCTTGAGGCAGGAAAGTGGAGAGGTGCACAGTGGGTACTTAGGGTGGGCAGCGTTGAAATGCCTAGATCTGTTACCACAGCTGCAGCCCAAATGGGAGGTGGCTTTAGGGCATGGGACGCAGGCAAACAAAGCATCTGCTGCACTAGGACTCCAGCAAAGGTCCCTGGTCACAGCCACTGTCTTTCTCTACCAAACGCTCCCAGGACCCCTCTGTCATAGTTGTGAGAAACCTATATTTCTCTTTGTGGGAACTGGCATCGGCTTTCAGCCAGGCCTTGGACAGTGGCTGGGCACCATGTTTCATCACACTCCAACAGCTCTGGGCCTCAGTTTCCTCACTGGCATGAGAGGTGGCTTGGGTGAGTTCTACAGCCACTGTGCCTCACGGATGTGCACGGTGTGCAGAGGCAGCCCAGAAAGTTAATGCCCTTAGGGTGACCCTTAAACAATGGGGTGTGAGAATTAGTGGAAAACTCATCATTCAAGGGTTAGTTTTTCTTTTTTGAGATGGGTCTTGTTCTGTCGCCCAGGCTGGAGTGCAGTGGCACAATCTCGGCTCACTGCAACCTCTGCCTCCCGGGTTCAAGCGATTCTCCTGCCTCGGCCTTCTGAGTAGCTGGGATCACAGGCGCCGCCACCATGCCCGGCCTTAAGGGTTAATTCTGTGGTGGGTTCTATGAGAGTCTTTAGAGGGCCCCCAGCAAGCCTGAGCAGGCCAGTGCGGGGGTGGCTCATGTCTGTAACCCCAGCACTTTGAGAGACTGAGGTGGGCGGATCACAAGGTCAGGAGCTTAAGACGAGCCTGGCCAATATGGTGAAACCCTGTTTCTACTAAAAATTCAAAAATTAGCTGGATGTGGTGGCAATCCCAAGCTATAGTCCCTTGAAACCGGGAGGCGGGGGTTGCAGTGAGCCCATGCCACTGCACTCCAGCCTGGGCGACAGAGTGAGACTCCGTCTCAAAAAAAACAGCCTGAGCAGTAGTTGCCCATAGCAGTAACCGGGCTTCATGGGCTTTGCCTCCATCTCTGTCTCACCCTCCCCACTCCCCCTCATTTCTGCTTCCGAAACAAACTGTCTGCACCCAGTCCTGGTCTTAGGCTCCACTTTCAGGGAAACCCAAATGAAACACTTGGCTTTGTCATTTACCTGCTGGCTGATCTAATGCAAATAGTTTACCTCTCTGGACCTCAGTTTTCCCATTTATGAAAGGGAAGACGAATAAAAGCAGTGGACAGTCTCTGCACTGCATGCCCAGCACTGTGTGAAGTGTTATGCTGTAGTGTTTCACCCTCCATGTTCTTTATTCTCCATTTTACAGAAGAAAAATCTGATGATTTGAGAGGCGAATTCACAGTCAGGGAAAGGTGAAGCCTGGGGTCAGATCCAGGTTATCTGCCCAAAGCTTGAGCTCTTAACCAATGATGGTACCAACCTCACTGCAACGCTTTGAAGATTTAATGCACTCAATGGGGATAATGCCTGTCAAGGCACTTCTGTGAACTGGAAAGTGCTATGTAAACGCTGAGTGGAATTATTAACACTAAGTTCAGCGTTTTACTGAAAACACAGGGACTGTGTCTATCTTGTCTGGCTTTGTATCCCAGAGCTTAACACAGCTCAACACATTTTTGCTGAATGACAGAATTCAATCCCAAGCTCTAGGGAATGTGACCCTGCAGCAGTTTTCGAGAGTGTACTCCTCGTGAGGTTTCGGCATGTTTCCTAGGAACCAAGCTAACATCTTTCTACGTGAAAGCAACAACATTCACCCGGGTGAGAGGTCCATCACCCCGTCAAAACCTCCACCTTGCAAGTTCTCCTGGCCTTGGGGTCAGGATGTGAGTGGCACCCTAGTTGGGAGACCCTGACCTGCTCCCCTAACTCCGGGTTCCTACCTGGCTGCAGCTGCTCGAAGTCCATCAACATCCTGTAGGCTGTGCAGGGATTGACGCCCAGGGTGGCAGCGCTCTGAAGAGGGATGTCACTCGGAACTTGGATCAGTGCTTCCTCGCTGAACACAGCCTCGGTCCGCCAGGTTCCTGAGTCAGAGGATGAAACCAGGATCATAAGGAAGGAGCCCTGAGCACATTCAACCCCAGCTCACTCTCCTTGGCCAATGAGCAGCCAGGATAATGGATAGTATCCACTGGAAGCATCCAGGATAGCATCCAGGATGTTTAGAAAAAGAAGAAAATCTGGATGTTCCTCTGAATGTCTGAATCCTCATGATAATTATGCAAAATAGATTGTTATTTTTTTAAATTTTTTTTTTTTTTTTTTTTTTTTAGAGACAGAGTCTCTCTCTGTAGCCCAGGCTGGAGTACAGTGGCGAGATCTCGGCTCACTGCAACTTCCGCCTCCTGAGTTCAAGTGATTCTCACACTGCAGCCCCCTGAGTCGCTGGGATTACAGGCGTGCACTACCATACATGGCTAATTTATTTATTTGTAGTAGAGACAAGGTTTTGCCTTGTTGCTCAGGCTGGTCTTGAACTCCTGGTCTCAGGTGATTCGCCTGCATCAGCTTCCCTAAGTGCTGGGATTATACACATGAGCCACTGTGCCCGGCCCAAATTAGATAGTTATTCTGATCTTAAACATGTAGTAAAAATGGGGTGTGGTGGCTCATGCCTATAATCTCAGCACTTTGGGAGGCAAGGTGGGAGGACTGCTTGAGGCCAGGAGCTCAAGACCAGCTGGGGCAACATAGTGAGACCTTGTCTCTACAAAAAAAAAAAAAAAAAAAAAAAAAATTAGCTGGGTATAATGCCCTGCAGTCCTGGCTTCTCATGAGGCTGAGGTGGGAGGATTGCTTGGGCCCAGTAATTTAAGGACACAGTGAGCTATGATTGTGTGACTGCACTCCAGCCTGGGTGACACAGCAAGACCCTGTCTCAAAAAAACCCAAAAACCAAAAAACAAACCAAAACAAAAAATGCCAAATACTGTTGTAAGGGCAACTCAGAGAGGCTGCTTTTCTGAGTTACCATCAAATTTAGCTAATGTCACCATGCAGGGAGTTAATGACCTCAAACTGCTGCAATCTAAGGGTAAGACAGTAGTAATATTACCACTAGGGCAGGAGAAGCTGAGAAAGCCCCCTTTTTCCTACACAGTCCTCATTCTTCTCATCCAGAGCAAGCTGACTCAGGTGGGGTTTTTTTTTTTTTTTTTTTTTTGAGACAAAGTCTCGCTCTTGTTCCCCAGGCTGGAGTGCAATGGTGCAATCTCAGCTCATTGCAACCTCTGCCTCCTGGGTTCAAGTGATTCTCCTGCCTTAGCCTCCCGAGTCGCTGGGACTACAGGCACCTGACACCATACCCGGCTAATTTTTGTATTTTTAGTAGAGGTGGGGTTTCACCATGTTGGCCAGGCTGGTCTCAAACTCCTGACCTCAGCTGATCCACCCACCTCGGCCTCCCGGAGTGCTGGGATTACAGGCATGACCTACTGCACCCGGCCTGACTCAGGTGGTTTTAGGGAACAAAGCATAAAAGTAGACGTCAAGAGCACAGATGCCAAACCTGGTTTTGCTATTCTGCTGGTTTGAGGAAATTCCTGTCACTGAGTTTCAGTTACTCTAATGTGTAAATGGCACAGGCAAGAACAGCCTGACTCGCCTCCTCCAGGAGCTACTGTAGAAATCAAATGAGATAAGGAAATGAAAAATTCTATAAGCTGGAAAGAAATGAGCATCAACTCCCAGCCCACATTCCAGTTCCAGACAAAAGAATTCCAGAATGTCAGTACTGAGAAGGCCCTTATCGAGCATCGACTTTGAACCCCTCATGCAACAGGGGAGGAAATGAGGAAGTCACTTGCCCAAAGCCCCCTGGCTTATCTAGGCAGAGTTGGAGCTGGAACCTGGGTATCTGGGCTGCCTTCCTTCCATCTACAGATATTTATCTTGTACCCAGGCACTTGAACAACACAGACACATTCCCTGCTTTCATTCTAGTGGAGTTGAACAGGTGAAAAAAAGCAGATATGATAATGATAAATTACAAATAGAGACAGTAACAGCAAGGGAATTACTTTAGATGCGAGTCAAGGATACTTCTCTGAGGAGGTGACAGGCTAAGAGTGACTCAGAGCACACAAAGAACATCTTAGGCAGGGGACGCAGCAGATGCAGAGATGCTGCAGCAGGACAGACACAGGATTGGGATGGGATGATGCTGCACCGCAGGGTGGAGACTGATGGGAAGAGTGGTTTGAGACGCAGCTGGCCTGGCTGATGCAGCGGGGGCTGGGCAGGTGATGTGACACTTTCAGAATTCTGACCCACAGTAACCATGAATTCCACTGTGAATTCGTACATATACATACATGAATATACATGTAACACAAGCCTGTGTTTCACAGAATACTTACCCTTACTATGTAAGAGATACTCTATTTTTTATTCTTTTCTGCTCAACTTTAATTTTAAAAAGTGCTATTTGCAACTCACTAGATTGATTTCCCAAATGGGTCACAATCTGCGGTATGAAAGCATGACCTCAGCACCATGGTATGGAGAGCTGATCTTGTTTTAGTGAATGAGTGAGCGGGAAGCCTCTAACAAGCTTTAAGAGGAGACTGAGATGATCTGATACGTGCTTTAAGATCACTTTATTGCTGGGTGAAGACTGTGGAGTAGGGAGGGGCAGTGTGGAAGCGAGAGGTCTTTGCGGGGGTTGAGGTATGAGATGATGGCTGCCTAGACTGGGACTTTGGCAGTGGGGATGAGGAAGAGAAGATGGATTCGAGTTCTGTTTTAAAGATAGAATCAATAGGATTTGGTGAGGACTGGGTGAGGGGTCTGCATCACATGGGCAGGATCTTGTATGAAGAAGGGGTGAAGAGTGTAGGCTTTGGAGTCAGAGAGACTCCAGCCTTGATTCCACTGTGTCTTCACTGTGTCACCTTAGGGAAATTGCTTGGAGCCTTGTTGGCTCAGCATCTGGTCACTGTGGCAGATCGGGGCCCTTGGCCTGTGCTTCCAAAGCTCTTGGGCATGCCTGCTCACTATTTAGTTGCTGGGATTCTAATGGTATCCTGGTCCTATGTGGGTCAGCTGTGGGAAGCAGGGGGCAGCCTGGGTAATCACTAACCGTGCTGTAGGAAATGGGGATGTCAATGTGGGCTTTAGGGACCAGGAACTGGGGATGGGAGGCAGGAACACTTTTTTTTTTTTGATACTGAGTCTTGCTTTGTCACCCAGGCTGGAGTGCAGTGGCACGATCTTGGCTCACTGCAAGCTCCGCCTCCCAGGTTCACGCCATTCTCCTGCCTCACCCTCCCGAGTAGCTGGGACCACAGATGCCTGCCACCACGCCTGGCTAATTTTTTGTATTTTTTGTTAGAGACAGGGTTTCACCTTGTTAGCCAGGATGGTCTCCATCTCCTGACCTCGTGATCCGCCTGTCTCGGCCTCCCAAAGTGCTGGGATTACAGGCGTGAGCCACCAAGCCCGGCCTGGGAACACTTTTTATTGAAGGCTGTGTCAATCCTAGAGTACGTCTATGGCTGAGAAAATAAGAGACTGAAAAGGCAAGGATTCCTCTGGAATCCAGGAAGTGCCCCAGCATCCTGTGGGCTTTCCCCAGACTGGCCTTCAAATCATTGTTCCCACTCATCTCAGCTAACACTTACTGCACTCTACCCTGTGCCAAATGCTTAGTGCAGGGCTTTCTATGTATGAAATCCAGGGCATTTTCTAATTCCTCTTATGGCACAACAATGGAAATCCAGCCCTTGATATGAATTTCTGGGGCTTAGCAGTCCCTAATCCTCTTCTCAAGAGACGCTGGGTGGGAGGGAGGCAGCACCCATGGTCAGAGACAAGGGCTTTCAGGATTTCAAGTAGAACTCTTAGGCTTGAAGTTGGAGAGACCTGCTTAAAAACCCTGGTTCTGCCACTCACTAGTGTGTGACTTTGAATGATCACTTTACCTTTTTTGAGTTTCCATTTCCCTAATCTGTGAAATGCAGAAAATAACACTTATGTCATAGTGGGAAGATTAAACTAAAGACATTTGTACAGAGACTATCACTATGCCTAGCATACAGTGGGTGTATAACACACATTGTTTTCCTTTAATGATGCTAATTCCCAGACCTTAGCTCTGAGGATTCCCAATTCCTCACTCATATGCAACTGACCCTTAACCATCTCCATTATCTAACTTGGGGGTCAGCAAATTGTGACCTGTGGGCCAAATCTGGCTCACCACTTGTTTTTGTAAATAAAGTGTTTTTTTGTTTTGAGACAAGGGTCTTGCTCTGTTGCCCAGGTTGGAGTGTGGCTTACCGCAACCTCTGCTTCCGGGCCTTGAGCTATCCTTCCATGTCAGCCTCCCCAGTGGCTGGGACTACAGGTGTACGCTGCCACACTTGGCTAATTTTTTGTAGAAATGGACTTTCCCCAAGTTGTCCAGGCCATCCTTGAACTCCTGGACTCAAGCGATCTGCCCGCCTCAGCCTCCCATGCTGGGATTACAGGCATGAGCCACCACGCCCGGTCCTGCAAATAAAGTTTTACTGGAACACAGCCATGCTCACTCAATTGTTTATATATTGTCTGTATGTTTACGATAGTAGAATTGGGTAGTCACAAAGATGGTATAGCCTCCAAGGTCTAAAATATTTATTATTTGGCCCTTTAAGATAAAAGTTTGCCAACTCCTGATCTAATTCATAGAGAAATTTGGCATTTGCAAAGATCATTGCATATATTCGCTCAGTTGAGTTTTATTAAGAGTCTACTGAGACATGGTAGGCAGTGACTATTAGTCCCATTTTCGAGATGAAAAAACTGAGGCACAAAGTAGCTGTGACCTAAATCAGGTCATACAGTGGAGCTGGAAAGAGAACTTGCCCCTGATTCCAGAGCCAGTGCTCTTTCTATGGCTCTGTGCTTCCTCAGGAAGGTTTTGCGTATTTCCCAAGGAGAAAGTCAGTTGGCAAAGATCTATGTACACCATCTGGTCTAGTCTCCCCTGGGATTGGCTGCACGTGGGAAAAGGCCGGCTATGGGCTCAGCAACAGCTGGGCAGCTCAGAACCATGGAAAATGACCAAGCTGTGGCCAGCTGAGAACTTATATGTTTAATAGTTGCCACTCTTACTAAATGGCAGTCTTCATGAGAAGAAAGACCATGTCCGTTCACTGCTGTGTCCTCGAGTCCAGCATGCTGCAGATGCTTACAAAATGTTTACTGAATACACTGAGTTAATTGCAGTACTCACAATTATAAAATCCTCATCCTCTCTGGCTGGCACCTTGCTTAAAAGACTCACCTTTTGGCCGGGTGCGGTGGCTCAATGCCTGTAATCCCAACACTTTGGGAGGCTGAGGGGGGCAGATCACCTGAGGTCAGGAGTTCAAGACCAGCCTGACCAACAAGACAAACAAGACAAAACCCCATTTCTACTAAAAGTACAAAAATTAGCTGGGCGTGGTGGTGGGCGCCTGTAGTCCCAGGTATTCGGGAGGCTGAGGCAGGAGAATTGCTTGAACCCAGGAGGTGTAGGTTGCAGTAAGCTGAGACTGCGCCAGCCTGGGCAACAGAGAGAGACTCTGTCTCAAAAGAAAAACAAGACAAAAAAAGAATCACCTTTTCTCCAGGGAAGAATCCCTATTCTGGGTACCCCCACCACCACACGTACAATTACCCAGACACCTGGCAGACGTCCTTTATTCTCATTTCCAAACTGAAAGTATTGCCAAATCTTGTTACTTTAGCTCTTGACTCCACACCCTCTTCTCCAGCCCTACGGCCCTGTCTTATTCAGACCCTCACCCTTCATCATCTGAAGCCTGACTTGTTTGCCCACCTCCTCACAGGCTTTGTGCCTCCACCCTCTGCCTTTCCAGACCAATGGTTTGCAGACCATTCTCTGCATTGCACAAATCTTAACAAATCATTCCTCTACTTAACTCTCCGTTGGTACCCCTTGCACTGTGGATGCCGGCCCACCAGGACCCAGCTCCAGCCCACCTTTCCAGCTCCACCTCACTTCTCTTCCACTCCCACCCATGAGCCAGCCATCCTGAGCTACCTGCGGCTCCCCACCAGTGCTGTGCCTTCTCTTATCACTTACATTCACACACGCTGCACTCCCTGCCTGGGAAGCCCCTCCTCACCTAGCCCACTGGCTGCACTTCCAGCAGCTCTTCCAGACTGAGTTCAAGCATCACTTCTCCAGGAAGCCTTTTTTAAGGCTTTCCAAGATAGAGGACTCTTGTCTTTGTGTCAATCCTGTGATTATAGTGCTTGTAATACTGTATTGTATTAAGTGTTGTGTTTCCATTCCTGGGCCTCCTACTGCCAGCCAAGAGCACTCTGAGGGCAGGAAATGTCTGCTCACCTTGATAGGACCTTCACTCAGCACAGGGGCTGGCCCAAAGCACTGGCATCAGGATCCAGTGAATCCTCGCAGCTCTCAATTTGCTCAAATGGCTGAGTTCCTTCACCGCCAGGTGGGTGTAGGAGATGGTGTAGCCATTCTTGGCAGCCTCCATGATCTTAGAGAAGCAAAGAGCTTGTAGTAGACTCCTATTACTGTTTTTTTTTCCCCCTAGTATTTTTTTTCTTTCTACAAGTGCTCCTTCCTAATCTCTGGGGCTGTCAACCACAAGGCCCCACCTTCTGTACCATGGAGGAAGGTGAGAGACTCAATCAGAGCAACCGGAGTGGCCCTACCCCACCCCAGGGGACTGGTTCCGGGATGGGCAAGGCCCATTCAGGGCCCTTCTGGGGGATGTGCTGGACATGATTGTGGAGGATGTGCTCATTTGTTTGTTTTTAGGGTGATATGAACCTCAGGCTGCTGGTGGCCATCTACGAGAGGGGTGTATCAGAGTGGATCTGAATTCTAACTCCATCACTTTTGGCTGGGTGACCTTGGACAAACTGCTCAATAGTTTACAGTTTTCCATTGCATTTACTGTTGTATTGCCTGCAAAATGGGAAGGAAATAACCACCTCATGTTGTGGGAACAATTGAGTTAATATACATGAAGTGCTTAGAGTAGTGCCCGGCACAAAGAGAGTGGCCAATAAGTATTTGTTGGTTTGATTATATCAATATGTGGGGACAGCCCATCTGAGAACAAGTGAGAGACACAACTCTGATAGTACTGGGGCTCTTAGATCCAGCTGAACCCAAAGTTTTCAACCTGTTACACTTCCCAGTTCCACAGATCAATTAACTTTTTTTTTTTTTTTTTTGAGATGAAATCTCACTCTGTCGCTCAGGTTGGAGTGCAGTGGCACGATCTTGGCTCACTGTAACCTCCGCTTCCTGGGATCAAGTGATTCCCCTGTCTCAGCTTCCCGAGTAGCTGGGACTACAGGCATGCCACCATGCCTGGTTAATTTTTGTATTTTTAGTAGAGATGGGGTTTTACCATGTTGGCCAGGCTGGTCTTGAACTCCTGACCTCAGGTGATCTGCCCACCCCAGTCTCCCAAAGTGCTGGGATTACAGGCATGAGCCACTGCACCTGCCCTTAACTTATTTTTTTTTTTTTGGAGATGGAGTCTCGCTCTGTTGCCCAGGCTGGAGTGCAGTAGCGTGATCTCGGCTCACGGCAGCCTCCGCCTACTGAGTTTAAGAGATTCTCCTGCCTCAGTCTCCCGAGTAGCCAGGACTACAGACGCGTGCCACCACACCTGGCTAATTTTTTGTATTTTTATTAGAGATGGGGTTTCACCATGTTGGCCAGGCTAGTCTCGAACTCCTGACCTCAGGTGATCCACCCACCTTGGCCTCCCAAAGTGCTGGGATTACAGGCGTGAGCCACCATGCCCAGCCCCAACTTCTTTTTTTACAGCAAGTTTGAGCTGGGTCGCTGTCAGTTACAACCCAGAAGATCATAACACTGGTGTGTAGTGGGAACCCAGGAGAAAGAATCCAGTGAGCACTGTCATTTTGCTGTTTGAGTTTGGGCCAGGGCTTTACTTCTCAAGCTTCAGTTTGTGTCCGATGGGTGGATAATACATGTCCTGCTTCCCTCTTGTAGCTGCTGTGAGGATCGATGTGTATAACAGATGTGCCTTGAAAACTGTTAAGTGCTAAAAAATAAAACTCACCTATGACTCCTTATAATATATCAAAGAAAATCCTGCTCATTACCTTGGCTTGGGAAGGGCCTTACCCCATGTGGACCCAAGCTACCTTTTTAAAAAAATAGAGACAGGGTCTCACTCTGTTGCCCATGCTGGAGTGCAATGGTGCAATCATAGCCCACCGTAGCCTGGAACTCCTGGGCTCAAGTGATTGAACCTGCCTTTCTGGCCTTTTCTCACTCGTGCAATCCTCTACTATGTGCAAACCCTCTGCTGAGGCTACAGTGGATTTTCCACCATTTCCCAATCTCACCTTTGTGTCTCTGCTCATTTTATGTCCTCTACATGAAATGCCTTTTGGCTCATCTCCATGTATAAACAAAATTCAGGCTGGGCACAGTGGCTCATGCCTGTAATCCCAGCACTTTGGGAGGCTGAGGTGGTGGGTCACCTGAGGTCAGGAGTTCGAGACCAGCCTGGTCAACATGATAAAAACCCCTCCCTACCAAAAATACAAAAATTTGTCGGGCGTGGTGGTGGGCACCTGTAATCCCAGCTACTCAGGCGGCCAAGGCAGGAGAATCGCTTGAACCTGGGAGGCGGAGGTTGCAGTGAGCCGAGATCGTGCCACTGCATGCCAGCATGGGTGACAAAGTGAGACTCTGTCTCAAAAAAAATAAAATAAAACAAGGCCAAGTGTGGTGGCTCACGCCTATAATCCCAGCATTTTGGGAGGCCGAGGCGGGCGGATCCCTGAGGTCAGGAGTTTGAGACCCAGCCCGGCCAACATGGTGAAACCCCATCTCTACTAAAAATACAAAAATTAGCTGGGTGTGGTGGTGGGCGCCTGTAATCCCAGCTACTTGGGAGGCTGAGGCAGGAGAATCACTTGAACCCGGGAGGCGGAGGCTGTGGTGAGCCGAGATCGCACCATTGCACTCCAGCCTGGGCAATAAGAGCAAAACTCTGTCTCAATAAATAAATAAACAACAACAACAAAAAAAACCCTGCATTACCCAGGTACACTGAGCCAATCAGTGGACGTCTACAGAGTGGGTGAAATAGGATCTGGAAGAACGAAAAGGCAGCTGACACCTGGAGAAACTCACCCAAACCAGCATTTGCTGGAATCACCCAGTCTCCTGGCTTCAGCCCGGTCACATTGCTGCCCACTGCTACCACCTGTGCAACACCTTCGTTCCCTCCAACAGCTGGCAGTTCGGGAAGGAGGCCGTAGTTTCCTGAGGAAGAAGAGCATTAAAGGGTCAACCAGTGATGTTTGGGCAGTGAAAGAGCATGGACTTGAGTACATGCCATCCTAGGCCTGATCTGGGCTCTGCTTTGGACTGTCTGCCTAACCAACCTCTGAGCCTTAGCTTACTTGTCTGTATAGGGGGACTACATTCTTTAGTGTTCATGGTTATTATGAAGATCAGATAACATACAAAATAAAACCAGCATGTCGTAGGCACTTCACAAGGTTTAGTTTACTCCCCACTGCAATCTTCTCAAAAATCCTCACATGTCAGAAAAGGGAGGCCAGACAGGGCTGACACAGCCTGTAGACGGCTCATCTGGAGAACAGCTGCTGCTAATCACAGGCATTTCACACCCACACCTGAGGAGGAATGAAAATGAGGTGGCAGCTGAACAAAAAAGCCAATTAACATAAGCCACAGAAACCAAGGTTACCTTGGATCATATTTATGTCAGATGGATTGATAGGGGCCGCCAGCATCTTCACATGGACATCTGATCCTCCCATAGCAGCTAGCTCCAGGTTCTTGAGTCTAAGCACAAAGCCAAACGGAGATGTTCATGTCATCCAGGCTAGATTGGGTGTTTCGCTCAAATCATCTCCCCAAAGTAGGTCAGGCAACATTTCTGAGCTGCCATGTGTGCCCAGGAATTACAGTTCTGTTATAAAAGAGGTACCATAAGAAATCAGTACAGAAGGCTGGGCGTGGTGGCTTATGCCTGTAATCCCAGCACTTTGGAAGGCTGAGACAGGCGGATCACCTGAGGTCAGGAGTTCAAGACCAGCCTGGCCAACATGGCGAAAACCTGTCTCTACTAAAATAAAAAAATTAGCCGGGCATGGTGGTGGGTGCCTGTAATCTCAGCTACTCGGGCGGTTGAGGCAGAATAATTGCTTGAATGTGGGAGGCAGAGATTGTAGTGAGGTGAGATTGTGCCATCCATCCTGGGTGACAAAGCAAAACTTTGTCTCAAAAAAAAAAAAAAGAAATCAACATAGGATACAGGTTGACTCTCATTAACCACAAGTGGAAAATCTACAGTGTTTTTCTTTTTTTTTTTGTTAAAGACAGAGTCTCACTGTGTCACCCAGGCTGGAGTACAATGGCGCAATCTCGGCTCACTGCAACCTCTGCCTCCCGGGTTCAAGTGATTCTCCTGCCTCAGCCTCCCAAGAAGCTGGGACTGTAGGTGCTTGCCACCACGCCCAGCTAATTTTTTTTAAAAATTTTTAGTAGATGGGGTTTCACTATGTTGGCCAGGCTGGTCGTGAACTCCTGACCTTGTGATTCGCCTTCCTCGGCCTCCTAAAGTGTTGGAATTACAGGTGTGAGCCACTGCACCTGGCCTTTCAACCCCACTGCCCTCTCTGGGACAGGAAACCTCTGCTGGCCTAGATGAGCCCTGTGTTTCCCAAAACTCGCTTGGTTATAAGAATTACCTGGTATGCTCATGGATATAAATCATCAGGCCTACCTCTGAATTACTGAGCCAGAATCTCCAGATGAGGGCACCCCAAGTAGTTCTTACCAACAGGCATACCTGGGAAATCCCAGGCTAGCTGACATGTCCTCCACCTGTTTGATTTTATTCTTGGTCGTAACATATACAGGGGAGAGGAGATATTTCTGTTAGTTGCGGAGTGTGGGGGTAATGGGGAGATGGCCTATGTAGTTCACAAAGACCTCTATGGGTGGCCGTGATTCACTCTGAGTGATGTCCCTTCTGGAGGAGGATTCTTGTCTGGCAGAAAGGACCCTGGGTGGAGGGCTGAGGGTCCTGGGCGTAAAGCTCAACCACAGGATGCCTGGGTCACCATGGGCAAGTTTCTTCTCTGCTCTAGGCCTCTGTTTCTCCATTTGTAAAACAGAGTTGCAGTAGTGGTTTGAACCTGATCCCCTCTGGGAGCCTCTTCCATGTTAAGTCAGTGGTAAGTCCCTCTGCTTGTGGTGGGTCTTGGACACCACGGTGGCAACATCTTTATCCCACTGAAACTTTGCTTAATGGGCAAAACCTGCAAGAAAGCTTTTGAGGGAGGCCAAGTTGCAATGTACATGTGTTACTTTTGTTATTTCAAAAAAGTTTTTTAAAAAAGGAGATCTGCCAACCAGATAGTACTGGTCAGTGTACTAGACCCAAGGGGCCTGTGACTTTTTAATCACCAGTGACTGCTTTCTTTCTTTCTCCACACCCCTAAGATTTCATGTTTGCAATGTTTCTCTCTGCCCAAATGCATTTATTAAGTAATAATTCATTTTTACTTACCCAAGACACATAAAACTGCCAACAAGAGGTTCTTAGCATTAGGCAACAGTATCACCAACTAAGCTGATGTAATTCCACCTACTTCCTGCAGAAATCTGACCTTTTAATTACACCGCAGGTTTGATCTTGTGGTAAAAGTGTGATTTTCTAGAAATGTTTAATAATAGCTGGGCGCGGGGGCTCAGCCTGTAATCCCAGCACTTTGGGAGGCTGAGGTGGATGCATCACGAGGTCAGGAGGTCGAGACCAGCCTGGTCAACCTAGTGAAACCCCATCTCTACTAAAAATACAAAAATTAGCCAGGTGTAGTGGTGTGTGCCTGTAGTCCCAGCTACTCAATTAAGGAATGTATGTATTTACACATAGCTGGAGGATGGGGAGTCCCTGCAATAGTAATAACTACTGTTTATTCAGTGCTTACCAGTCAGGCACACTGCTAAGTGCTTTACCTGCCAGCTCTCCTATTACAACAGCTCTCATACTATTGTTCTGCTTTTACAGCTGAGGAACAAAGGCTCTAAGAGGTAAATAACTTGCTCACGGCCACTACAAAGTAGCAAGCGGCTGACCTGATTTGAACCTGGCAGTGTGATCTAGAGAAGCCAGCAGGTAAGGTGCTGACCCCACACCAAGCAGAGGGCAGTGAAATGAGCACAGGCTGGACCGGCTGTAGTTGCCTTATGGGGAGAGGGAGGGAGCGCTAACAGGTGGGCGCGAAGCAAGGAGGCATCAGCCCAGATAGTGATGTTTCACTGTCAATGTGTGTATTAAGTCTGCATTCAAAAGAAAAATCCTGCCCAGAGCAAATGGATTTTGGACTAGCTGCCCCTTTATATTATCCACAGCACTTCTCTCCTCCATTTTCACAGATCATCAGAGGTTTTCTGTAAGCTGACAAAGCTCATGTGCTCAAGCTGTTTAAAGACATTTTTTCTACACATTTTCTATATGTTCTTCCTACAGCCCAGAATGTTTCTTCCACAGCTTCTCTATGAAGTGAGGAATTCAACTCACCCTTCAAGGCCCAGTTCAAAGTTTACTTCCCTTAAGACATCTTTCAACCCTCCTCCTAGTCCAGAAAAAAAAAAAAATCACTTGCTGGGTGCTCCCATTGTACAGAATTATACATCATGCTATTTATGACTATCTCATATGAGTTTACTAATGTTTAGTTTGTGAAGCCATTTCATACATTTTTGTCAATTGATCAGGAGAAGACATAGGTTCACAATCCCTTTTCTGAAACTCTTGGGGCCATGTGTTATCTACAGGGGGCTGCTGCAGCACCCTGTGATCAGACACATGAATGTGTCTGCAGCAAAATGTAGGAATACTCATGCTAAGTGAGATGAATAAAGACCACATAAAAACCTCATGTTAGATCAGATTTCCTTCAAATAAGTTATAGAAAAAAACTGTCAGTTTCCAGAGCTTTCAGGATTTTGGAACCGCAGATGCAAATGCAGACTTGGATTCAGGTCTTTCAGACTCTGAGTTCAGAGCTCTTTTTACTTATCACCTAGTTTTGTTAGCCAGAATGTGTGTGTATGTGCTGTCTCCTTGTTAGACTGTGAGCTCCCAGAGGGCAGAGAACTTTTAGTTTCAACACACTGTTGAATAAATTTCTCACTAGTGAGAAAATGTGGCATAAGTGCCAGTCATGGCCAGGCGTGGTGGCTCACGCCTGTAATCTCAGCATTTTGGGAGGCCGAGGTGGGTGGACTAATTGAGGTCAGGAGTTGGAGACCAGTGGGGCCAATATGGCGAAACCCCGTCTCTACTAAAAAAAAAAAAATACAAAAATTAGCTGGGCGTGGTGGTGTGTTCCTATAGTTCCAGCTACTTGGGAGGCTGAGGCAGGAGAACTGCTTGAACCTGGGAGGCAGAGGTTGAAACAAGTGGAGATCACGCCACTGTACTCCAACCTAAGCGACAAAGTGAGACTCCGTTTCAAAAGAAAAAAAAGTGCCAGTCATTAAGGAAATCAGGGGCAGGGCCCAAACCAAAGGGTCTTAGCTGTTTGTACTTGCTCTTCCTCCTTCTAGGCTGTTTATGAAAATACTCCTGAAAGATGGGCTCAAATAAAGATGGAGATTATCCTTAAGGGCATTCAGTCTAGGCATATACATCACATGTGCAGCGAGACTACACTTCTTAAAAATCTAGATGCCTGTGGTCAAGATGAGAATACAGGTAGATCTCAGTTCACAGATGATGGGTAGAGCACGGATCTGGAGTGAAGCAGGCAGCCCTGGGTTTGAATCCTACCTTGGTCATTTATCAGCTAGATAAACCTCAGAATATTCCCTTGTAAAATGGGATAACACGAGAACTCAGTTCACAGGATTACATAAGTTAATGTATGTAAAGCATTTATGGTAGTACCTACACAGTAGATGCTGAAGAAATGGCAGCTGTTATCAGTTGTGGGAATATCCAAGCAAACCTTTGAAACAATTCCCTGGTTATACCTCTGAAAAGAATCACTGAGTCACTGAAAGGAAGACAGCAACTTTTTGGAAAATTCAAGTAAACGTAATTCAACAAATATTTACTGACAGTGAAAGTGCCAGATACTGTGCCAAGGGGCTTCATGATGAATAAAGGTGGGCATGGTAGCATGCATCTGTAGTCCCAGCTGCTTGGGAGGCTGAGGAAGGAGAGTTGCTTGTGCTCAGGAGTTCAAGGCTAGTATGTACCATCATCACACCTGTGAATGACCACTGCACTCTAGCCTTGGCAACAGGAGACCCTGTCTCAGGAAAAAATAAATAAATAAAACAAATCCCCTTCTCAGGGCCTTGATGGACTGGGAACGCATCCATGGAAACACTGGGAGAAGGGCTGTAACAGAAGGAGGCTTGTGGTGCTAAAGTTGGCTGACAGTGTCCAGCCTGGTGGGAGGAAGAAAACAGAAGATTCGAAAAGGGTTTTTGGAAGAAAGGATACCATAATTTGAAGGATAAATAGGCATTTACAGGGAGGATGGGGAAAAGACAAAAGGTTTTCCTGCCGGAGGGAATGACAAAGAATCTGACCCAGGAGTAGACCAGGCAACAGGTGTAATATGCATAAGAGCCATGAGAATGGAGAGAAGGATTCAGTAACGTAAAATCTTTTAAATAAGCACACTAATGTCACTTGGTGACCAGTTCCATGTGGCGGGAGGGAAGGGAAGTCTTTGATGGCTCCCAGACCTTTGGCTTGGACAACTGAATGCTGAGCTAGGGAGGAAGGAAGAGTAGATTTGGAGAGGGGACACAGGTGACCCGCAGTATGGATACAGAGCAGAGAGTGCTCAGGGCTAGACATATAGAACTGTGAGTTGGCTGGGTGGGTGGAGTCTAGGAGAGTCGAAAAACCTATTCTGGGTGATTTCACTCAACAATGAAATCACAACTTATGTCGATGGCTTACTGAGCTCCAAGTATGCTTAATATTTTATATACATGATGCCGTTCAGTCCTCAAAATGCCTATGTGGAGGGTGGTATCACCCAAATTTAAAGCAGAGGAAACTGAGGCTCAGAGAAATAATTTGCTCAAGAGTCTTGATCTTAAGCTAGACTCCAAAATGCAGGCTGTTGAACACTACGCCAGCATTCACTACACTGTGTGTGCTGAATTTTCCTTGGAGATGCTGTTAGGTATTTCTTTTTTTTTTTTTTTGAGACAGAGTCTTGCTCTGTCACCCAGGCTGGAGTGTAGTGGCGCGATCTCGGCTCACTGCAAGCTCCGCCTCTCAGGTTCATGCCATTCTCCTGCCTCAGCCTCCCCAGCAGCTGGGATTACAGGAGCAAACCGCCACGCCCGGCTAAATTTTTTGTATTTTTAGTAGAGACGGGGTTTCACTGTGTTAGCCAGGATGGTCTCGATCTCCTGACTTTGTGATCTGCCTGCCTTGGCCTCCCAAAGTGCTGGGATTACAGGCGTGAGCCATGGCACCCAGCCTTTTCTTTTTTTTTTTTGAGACAGAGTCTCGCTTTGTCACCCGGACTGGAGTGGTGTGGTGCAATCTCGGCTCACTGCAAGCTCTGCCTCCCAGGTTCAAGGAATTCTCCTGCCTCAGCTTCCTGAGTAGCTGGGATTACAGGTGCATGCCACCATGCTCAGCTAATTTTATTTTTATTTTTTATTTTTAGTAGAGACAGGGTTTCACCATGTTGGTCAGGCTGGTCTCAAACTCCTGACCTTGTGATCCACCTGCCTCGGCCTCCCAAAGTGCTGGGATTACAGGCGTGAGCCACCACGCCTGGCTGTTAGGTATTTCCTGGGATCCAATTGGTTTGGGAAATGCTGCCTACTAAGCCCCTTTTCGAAGATTCTGACTACACGTTAGTCATAAAGGCTCTGAGAAGTCCCCGAATAAAGAAACCCATGTGGCCTGTGTCATCCAGAGCTTTCCAGATTTAACGCGGGCTGGGAACACTACAATATTTTCACAGCGCAGCCTGCCCCAAACAGCAGTTTGAGAAACCATGCTCTGGGCCCCTGGTTCTCTTCTTTGTCTTCTGGGAAGCCCAGCAGCTCTGTCATTTGAGATTCACCGAAGTGGGAGGAAGGAGAGTGAAGAGGGCCAAGCAGGGGTGAGGGTCTAGGAGATGGGAAGTTAAGTTGAAGCTACAAACACAGGTGGATGGTGGCGGGGGCTGGCCCCACGCTTGCTGCAAGCCTGGGGGTCGAGGGGTCCAGCCGCCTCTCACCAGGGAGGCCAGCCTTGGCCTGCCCCAGGGAATGCCATCAATACCACACGCACTGCTGTTCCCGCACACAGTGCTAACCACGTCGTCAAGGATACCATTCTGCTGAGACAGGAGGGAAAACAGGGACCAAGTCTGAATTCCAAGAGTTAAACCTCTAGTGTAATGACAGCAATTTCTTCCCCGTTCTTAAAAAAAAAACTCACTAAAGGAAACAGTGGCTATGTTTTGGAGTACAAATGAGGCACCCAACCCAGCCTGGCTAGATCTCAAATTGCTTTCCCCATACCGTTCGCGTCCTTCCTCTGTGAGCGTAATGGCGCCATGCAACTTGAGGGGATGCCACTGTCCTCAATCAACAGATCCCAGCCTGGATAAGGTCACAATGGCTCCTTTGAGGCCAAGGCTGTACACCTGTGATGCCATACGAAGTACAAGGGAGACAAAAGCAGGCAGAAGAAAGAGCCTTTTGAGAGGGGGGAAAAGAGGCCAGTACCCCGGAGACTGGCACAGTTATACTTGCTGTGTAAGGTGGGCATTAGCTAGCTCTGCTGAGATATCCTTCCTGTGTTCCACATTTAATTAGCAATCATTTGTACTTATCTTTCCTCTTTTACTCAATCACATCAAACGGTCAATATCATTTCGAGCAGGAAGAACAGGTAGGGAGAAATTGTCACTAGCCAGAGACTTTCTCATCTACTTAGTACAGAACCAAGAATGTTTGTGTCATCACAGGGCACTGGGTGAATGTAACTGACCCTCATGTGGTCCTCCCCATCTGTCTGCGGTCCCCTGGTCACCAAGCTGCCTTCTGTGATTCAGTGAAATGCCTGGTGTGCTAGGTACATTGTTCTGGGATTCGACTAATAATTACTAAGCAGGGCACAACTAGGCAACTGTGAAGGAATGAAGTTCCTCAGCTCACAGCTTGTAAGGGCCTGGCTTCCTGGGCTCTCAGGGAGAGCTCCTTTACCTGAGCAAAGCTCCTTTGTTCCACGCGGTTTGGTGCGGTGGACACAACCACACCTCCCTGCACCTCTTACGGCTTCCAGGACTCCCACCATTCAGGACTCATTTTTCGGCTCTTTAGCACAATCATTTTGAACCGAAAGAATCAGAAACTTAGGGCAACTTCTGGAAGTTTCTACCCAGTTAGCAAAGAAACCTTCTCAATCCCCTACTTTCCCTAAACTAAGAGGACCAGAAAGTCTGCGGGCCCCATGATATTCTACATCTGCTGACACTCCACTACAAGGGAGTTGCAGTGTCTGTCACTCAGCTTGCACAGTCCCTGCCTGCCTGCAAGCTGCTTGGATCTCTTTGACAGGTAAAAACACAACCATGCAGCTCCTGTCTGGCTGGAGGCTGGGAGGGCTATTGATTGCGTAATCAAGGGCCAAGGGCCAAGGGAAGGTCCCTGGTGAAATCTTGTGCCCAGGATCCCAGATTTCAAGTCAAACCATTGCTCCCTGGAGGCTGCTGGAACAACCATTGGTGAGCAGGCAGTCAATGCCTGCGCTACTTTCATAGAATTGTCAGAGCTGGACAATTGTTGAAGCAAAGAGGATTCACGTCTCATGATAATTTCCATGGCTGCAGTGTTATGCTGAGAAGGATGCTGAGGGCCCATCTTGTCTTGGCAGGAAGAGCGTTATCTGGGGAGAATGTGATAAAGAGGAGTGTACGTTTTGAGGTCTATAGAAAGGAACTGTGAAGGTCTGCGTGGGGACAGCACACATACCCGTATTTACCACTGCTGACCTTGGTCACTCTTCATTTTATCAAGGAGTAACTGAAGATAATTGGAGACTAACGTGATTTCCTTACTGCTATAATTGGTGGCAGAGGTGGGACTGGAACACAGGTAAGAAACATCCCAAGTCACAGGTTCACCTCGTGTCAACTTTGCTTTTTCTTCTCTAAAATGAGGACCCCTCCCACCTCACCCAGGGTGGGAAAGGCCAGTTCATCCCAGAGAGCTGCTAGGAGAGGGCAAGAGACAACTTGGAGTGGCACCGAGGGGCAGCTTTCCTCCCGGCCTCTCTGGACGGAGGGAAAACCCCAGTCTTTTGTGTAATTCCTGGGGGTGTGCCTGCAGCTTTCACCTGCAGCGGCAACAATGAGAAAATCAGGGTAGCAGGGCTTGGCCCTAAACTCCACAGCCTAGTCTGAAGGCCCGATGGAAGGTAATGTACGAGTTATAGAATGTGGAATCTGCTTAGGCTTGAGCCCTGTGATCTGAGGGTAGTCCCCTCTGAGCCGGTTTCAGCAGACTCCTTTCTCACAGGATTACATATGAGTGCACAGTGGGCAGTCAACAAATACGGACCGATCAGACACACCATGTTTTCTCTTCCCTCGGGGTCTTTGCACATGTAGGTTCCTCTGCTTGGGACGTTTCTCCACTTTCCTGCTCACTGGATCTCTGGGGCACTCAGTTTACCCTGTCTCTTCAGAGAACACTCTGACTACCCCGAGGGGGTTAGGCACCCCTCTTCTGGGTGTCCACAGCACTCTGAACATATCCTATCACAGCATTTACACCACTGGACGATGGTGGCCTTTCTCCTGGACTAGGCTGTGAGGCTCTGAGGGTAACGACCACAACAGATTCAACTCTGTACCCTCAGTGGCTTGCACTCAGTAAACTCTCAAAGAATACATGCTGGCCAACTTACTACATCCATGCCCTCTGTTCCCACTCCATTCATGGCCACAATAAAGGGCTCTAAACAGAGCACCAAACCCAGAATGCGATTTTTTTTTCCCCAAAGTACTAAAATTTGGGTTTAACAATCAAGTCACCTGCAGTTTTGCTTTATATTAACTGTAAAAAGAAGAAATTCCTGAGAGTAAACAGTGCCCTATAGTGAGAATGGATAGCCTGGGGCCCCACCACCTGCTCCTCCAAAGTCTATCTGGCTTAAGACAGAATGGGGAGGCTGGACGCAGTGGCTCACACCTGTAATCCCAGCACTTTGGGAAGCTGAGGTGGGCAGATCACCTGAGGTGGAGTTCAAGACCAGCCTGGCCAACATGGCGAAACCCCGCCTCTATTAAAAATAAAAAAAATTAGCTGGGCATGGTGGCAGGCACCTGTAATCCCAGCTACTCAGGAGGCTGAGGCAGGAGAATCACTTGAACTTGGGAGGTGGAGGTTGCAGTGAGCCAAGATCGCACCACTGCACTCCAGCCTGGGGGACAGAGCCAGACTCTATCTCAAAAAAGAAACAAAACCAAAAAGACAGAATGGGTATACGTCCACGGGTTTTCTAGCTCATTTTCATTTTTGTACTAGCAGCAGGCAGGTGAGAAAGCCAAGATGATCAGGATGCTGTTTTACAAAAGCCTCGGGATCCTGAAAAGGGGAAGAGACAGAGAATGGTATTTCTAAAGTTTCCCAAGGTTGGGGCTGTCCTTTATATAGCATAGGAACTTGGGGTTACCTGAATGACCTACAATTTCACCTTCTCTTCTAAGCTTTTTCCCAATTTTATAGTCCATCTCATTCTCAAAAATCATTTGAGACCTTGGGAGGTTGAGGCAGGAGGATCGCTTGAGCTCAGGCGTTTGAGATCATCTTGGGCAACATGGTGAAACCCCATCTATATATTTTATTTAATATATTTTTTAAAGTTTATTTAAAAAATAATTTGAGGTGACTGCTATTGTTTCCTCAGGCCTATGTCTATATCAAGGACTTTTAATAAAGAAGGGGCATCCTAGCTGTATGATCTTGGATAAGTGCCTTTCAATCTACTTGAGCTTCAATTTCGTTCTCTGTAAAGTGGAAGTAACAATAACCAAACTGGATTGTTGTGATTTATATGTAGGCGGCATTTAGCCCAATGCTTGCTATAGAGCTTTTCAATAAATGAAAGCTGGTTTCACCAGAAGATCCAGAGAATGGTAAAGTTCTGAGGGGACTTTCAGGAAAAAAAGAAGGCAAGAGAAGAACTAAGGGTTTCTGGGAACTATCTTTTTTTTTTTTTTTTTGAGACAGAATCTCACTCTGTCGCCGAGGCTGGAGTGCAGTGGTGCTATCTCAGCTCACTGCAACCTCTGCCTCCTGGGTTCAAGCAATTCTCCTGCCTCAGTCTCCCAAGTAGCTAGGATTACAGGCACGCACCACTGTGCCTGGCTAATTTTTGTATTTTTAGTAGAGACAGGGTTTTGATATGTTGGTCTCGAACTCCTGACCTCTGGTGATCTGCCCGCCTCAGCCTCCCAAAGTTCTGGGATTACAGGCATGAGCCACATCCATGGCCCCTGGGTTTCTGGGAACTATCTGATAGGGAATCTAGAACTCTGCACAAGGGACAGTGGCTATGGAGAACTCTGAAATTTCTCGAATGTTTGTCATTCTTCTGCACAGTCTTTACTTACATCCACAGTTTAATCTTTTAAATAAAAAAGGCCCAAATACTTATTTAGGGGACCCCATTTTGGAAGAAAGGGAAAGAAATTAAGCAACAGGGGAAAATGGCTTAGGAGAGAACAGCAGCAATGTTTGGAGGCCAACAGGAATGAAAACAGGGACGTGAGAACAGGAGAAACCTGGAGGCCTCCTTTTGAGAAGTCAGACCTGAGCAGGCTGTTCCTCATTCCTTCCCTCCTGCTTGCAGAGGTGTGGCCCACAGCGCAAGCATCACAAACCACACTACTTCTGACAATGCTCTGTTCAGACTCTAAGGTAGTCCCATGACCCCTACCTGGTGTAACCTGACCCAGACACCTAGTTACCAGGATGTGTAAAGGACACCTGATTCTTTCTGTGACAGTGTGGTTACCCTAAACCTCGAAGACATGACTACAAAGAGAATCCCAGTCTCTGGCTTCAGTCCATATGAGAACAAGTAAAGCCGCCTGAATCTGGGTCAGAAAGGAAAGTTGCCCTTCTGGAGCACGGGGAGAATTACTGCTTGTCTGACAATCTATCCATAGGGCAGTGGTTCTCAAGCCTGGCCTGGGCAGCAGAGACACCTGGAGAGCTTTGAAAAAAACAGATGCTCCAAGCCAGCACAGACCTACTAAGTACCTCAGGAGTGGGGCCTAGGAATATGTACGGTAGTTTCTAAAAGCACTACAGGCCAAGCTGGGTGTGGTGGTAGACACCTGCAATCCCTGCTACTCAGGAGGCTGAGGCAGGAGGATCCCTTGAGCCCAGGAGTTCAAGATCAGCCTGGGCAACATGGCTTGCTCTCATCTCAAAATAAATAAATAAATATATAAAAAATAAAAGCTGTCTGATATTTTATGTGGGCAAATACAAAAAATAAAAGCACTACAAATGGTGACTGTGCTGTGAAGCCAAAGTTGAATATAATGCTTTGTGGAAGTATCTTTTTTTTTTTTTGAGAGGAAGTCTTGCTCTGTCATCCAGGTTAAAGTTCAATGGTGCGATCTCGGCTCACTGCAACCTCTGCCTCCCGGTTCAGGCAATTCTCCTGCCTCAGTCTCCCGAGTAGCTGGGACTACAGGCGTGCACCACCGTACCCAGCTAATTTTTGTATTTTCAGTAGAGACAGGGTTTCGCCATGATCTGCCCACGTCAGCCTCCCAAAGTGCAGGGATTACAGGCATGAGCCACCGCGCCCGGCTGGAAGTATCATGTTTTGAACTAGAGGGAAATTACTGAAGTTCCACAGAAGGAAATAATAGAAGCTGTCTTTTTATTTATTTATTTTTTTCCCAAGTGGCATCTGCAAATAGACCAGTCTGTTTCAGCTTCTTTGGCTCTCCAAGAGGAGGGAATCAATTAGGAGGCAACTGCATTCAGCTGAACTTTTCCAGGCCTTCCTCATCACCACAGCCGAACTTAATAACAGGTACACTTTTTCCGGAAATTTAGATTTAGATTGAACTAACATTTTAGGAGCACCTGTTTTGTAGCAGGTCCTGCTGCAGACACAAACTACAAGTCCGTGGGAGAGACACTATGTTGTTCTCATTTGGTGTACGTTCCTGGAAATGAAGGAGTGTTCATCAGAGCTGTACCAGTTCCTTACAACACAGTCCTTAGTGAGACGTCTTCCCTGACACAATGCTTTATTACCTGCGATCAACATACAATTTGGAGTTTACTGACTGATGTGTCTTCTTGACATTCTTTTCAATTTCTGTAATGCTGGATGTGGCTAGGCTGATTGCATGACCTTGAATTTATCTGAGGCTTATCCTCACAACCTGTGAAAACATCTAGCTTGAATTTTTTTTTTTTTTCAGATGGAGTCTCGCTCTGTCACCCAGGCTGGAGTGCAGTGGTGCAATCTCGGCTCACTGCAACCTCCGCCTCCTCGGTTCAAGTGATTCCCCTGCCTCAGCCTCCTGAGCAGCGGGGATTACAGGCGCCCACCGCCAAGCCTGGCTAATTTTTTTGTATTTTTAGTAGAGATGGGGTTTCGCCACGTTGGCCAGGCTGGTCTAGAACTCGTGATCTCAGGTGATCCACCGACCTCAGGTGATCCACCCGCCTCAGCCTCCCTAAGTGCTGGGATTACAGGTGTGAGCCACTGTGACCAGCTCTAGCCCAAATTTTAACCATTAAAGTAATGCCACATTTGCCTATCCTTTGGAAAATAATCAAACTATTTGCTGGGAACCACAGAGTTAAAAAGAAGGTACTGCACAAGAGTATGCAGGTGTTTTTTGGTGGAGAGCACTGCACAGATCTTAGCTGATTACCACTATGAACTTTGTCTGTACTGTCTCCATTTTTAAAGATGATGAAAACAAGGCTCAGAGAACCTCAGTAACTTGCCAAGTGCAAAGCTAGGACAAGGATTTGACTCCAAGTATTCTGATTCTCAGACCTGTGCTTTTGCCTTAGCTCCACTTCAGTGGCCTGATAGCCCTTCTGAATGGCTATTTATGTGCAGATTTATAATGGTTGGCAACTGACATACTGTTTTTATCAACCACGTGCACAAAGCATGAAATAAGATCCAACAGAATTTTAGGAAGACAAAGTCATAAAAGTAACGAGAGGTTGAGTGACTTCTGTAAGACCAAACAGCTAGTAAGAGGTTGAGCCTATATTTGACCAAACATAGATACTTGGGTCTGTATGGCACCAAAGCAGCTCTTTTTATAAGCCAAGATGCATATACGGTGGAGTGGAGAGAAACTCACATGAGTTTGGAATCAGAAGCCATGGATTCCAGTCCCGTTCCAATCACTTATTAGCGATATCACTCTGGGCAAGTCCCCTGCCCTCTGGAAACAATGGTCTATGACCTACTCTTTACTGACAAGTGAAGATCCAAATGGACGTAAAAGTATTCTGAAAACTTCTTCCAAAAAATCATAATAGAAGAGTAAGAACTCAGGCAGGTCAGTCAGTCAGACATAGGTTTAAATTCTGACTTTGCCGCTGACTGGCTGTGTGACCTTGGACGAGTGATTTTACCTCTTCTGCCTCAGTTTTCATCTGCAAAATGGGGATAAATCAAGTAACTACCCCAAAACACTGTTGTGACAATTAAATGAGAGCATTCATTTAAACAAGCGATTGCCTGACACAATACTCGATCAATAAACATCAGCCATTCATACCCTGATAATTGCTTCTCGGGTCTTTAGCTACCTTCAAGTACGGTCTTTCTGAGCTACCCAAAGCGCCCTGGGCTTCGGCTTCGTCTTGCTATTCTCTGCCCCTTTCCTCGGACCCTGTCCCTCTCTTCCCAGTCGACAGCTCGTCTTAAAGCCCTCCAGAAACCCCAGTCCCCTTCCCCGGTTTCGGCGCTGTCTCTTACTCGACGACCTTGGCTGGATCCCCGTGGTGCCCATAGACAAGCGCCCGGACCCGGGCAGGCTCGGCGGATGCAGAGTAGGAGGAGGCGGCAGGTCCGTGACAGCCAGAAGCTGGGAGCAGCCTCTGCCACTGCCGGGCGGCGGTTCGCACCCGCCACAGCGTGCTGCAGACCCACATGCTGCCTCCAACCAACACAGAGCCTGACGCCCCCGGCTACGTCATCTTCCAGCGACTGCGCGCCTGCGCCCCGCCCCGCCCCGCTGGGTGACCACTCCCGAACGCTCCCTCTGAAGGGCGTTTCCTTCCTCCGCTGCCCACGTGGTGGCGCCTCGCTAGAGTGCGTGTGTGTCCGGGGGTGCGGAGCTTGCGAGGCCGCCAAAGCTGCTCTCTCAACAAGGAGAGTCTGGGGCTGGCCCATAGCCGTGTCTACAGCCTGCAGTTTGGTGTTTGATTTGGAGGAAATCATTTACTCTCCCTGGCCTCAGTTTACCCTTCTCCACATAATATATTGAGTGCTCACCCAGCCAGGCTCTTTAAGCTATTATCTAATTTAATCTCCACTACCATGTAACGGCATAGGGAGGCAAAGCTTACTTCCCTACACTGAGGAGAGTACAGGAAAGCTGCTGTGGAGGCAGGAATACGGGGCTTGGAGTTAGAAAACTTAGGTTCAAATCCTAGCCCTGCCACTTCCTAGCTTGGCCACCATGGGCAAGTGAAACTCTGAACGCATTGTAAAAAACTCTGTTCAGATATAAGACGGGAATCACAAGGAGAAGGGCCCCCTCTCAAAATGCTCACAGTGTAGAAAGGGATTAAGTGGAACACTGGAAAATGCTTGTAAAAAGGTGTAGCCCCATGAAGGATCTAGTCTTATTTTTGGTGTAGGGAAGACATGAACATTACTAAAACCCCAGATGAGCTGTGGCTCATGCCAGAGTGCAATGCTGTAGTCTGAAGAGAGGTGCTCTGGGATGGAGTGGGGTGAGGTGGGGGCTCAGGGAGGAGGTGCTGTTGGAGCCAGCCCTGTGATTCAAAATCTTCTGTGTGCATAAAAATAATCCGAGGTCCCATCTTAGACCTACTGAATTAGAATCTTGCGGATGGGGGTTCCAGGAATCTACATCCTTACAAGCTCCCAAGAATATTCTGATGCAGGTGTCCCAGGAAACAGGTTTTAAGATACTGAGCCAGGGCTTTGAAGGATAAGGAAGAGTTCCTTTCTCTGGATTTTATTGACTTGAAGCTTGCCATCGCCAAGCCTTTCCTCTGAGGAAGAGAGCACAGCAAAGTGCTGTGAGCTAGATTCGGACAAACCTGGCTTTGTGTCCTAGCTCTGTCATTTTCCAGTCATTTGATTTCGGACAAGTCACCAGGCCTCTGTGTCTTCATTTCCTTATTCTTAAAATGGAAGGAATACTAGTTATCTGTTTCAAGATAGTTGTGAGGGTCAAATGAGATATTATCCACTTGAAGCATTTCGTACAATGCTTGGCACATGGAAGCATTTGATAAATATTATTGGGGGTTATTGTGATTAAATGAGAAATATCATACATAAAACTCTCAGACTAGGGTCTGGCTCATAATTTGTGCTCACTAAATGTCTGTACTTGTTTTGATTATTAGAGAAAGTTGGTGTCCCATTGTGGGGGAAAGGCTTGGCCCCACATTTATGGGCACACACACGATAACCAGTCCTGCTTATCCTTTTCCCCAGTGGCACATAGGCCTATTTGAGCTGGGAAGTACAACATAACCTTCTGTTGTAAGACTCCCTAAGTGACATTGAGATGTCGACATTCTCTTCTTCACCAAACTGGCTCCTCTGAATTTCTGGGGAGCCCAGTCAGGAAGCCTGAAGAATCATCCAGCAAGTCCTTCTCCTTGGGGCTGGACTGTAGCCTCCTATGCATCCCGATAGCCCTCACTTTTAGTCTAGGCCATCTGGGTTCTCGCAGGGGCATAGTTTGAGGACTATTGACTGGGGGGTTCAAGTCCAATTTCCTGGCCTTGCATTCAAGATTCTTTGCACTCTGACTCCCACGCTGTGTTTCCAGCTTCACCTTCTCCTGCTGGACCGTGCATAGCCTGTGATCCAGCTGCATTTGATACCCATCTTCCCCAGTGTGTCTCGTGCCTTTTTTCAGGCCACTCCTTCTGCCTGAAATGCTCTTCACTGCCTCGAAAACTCCAGGTTCAGATGTCATTTCTCTGATGTTTCACAACTCCGTAGGTCATCTGCTGCTGCCTTTGTGTTTTCTCTGGAGCTGTGTTATGGCCTTTAGTACATCGTCTCTTATTTATTCCCTGCTCCAGGCAAGAGTGGAGCCATGTCTGGTTTATCTCTATGACATCAGCACCCGATATGAGCCTGGCACAGGGTAGGTGTCATAAATATTCCATGAATTGCAGGTAATAGAATTTCCTCATGGCCTAGAACTGTCTGTGGCGCCATCTCCTTTTCCTTAGATTTGGGCTGGTCACTCTGGGCCAGGAATTTCCTTCTTTCAAGGATTATAGAAGTTTGTGGGTTTTTATTTTTTATTTTTGAGACAAGAGTTTCACTCTCGTCGCCCAGGCTGGAGTGCAGTGGGATGATCTTGGCTCACCACAACCTCCGCCTCCCAGGTTCAAGCAGTTCTCCTGCCTCAGCCTCCCAAGTAGCTGGGATTACAGGTGCCCGCAAGTACGTCCGGTTAATTTTTGTATTTATTTATTTATTTTTTAGTAGAGACAGGGTTTTACCATGCTAGTCAGGCTGGTCTCAAACTCCTGACCTCGCCTCTGCCTCCCAAAATGCTGGGATTACAGGCATGAGCCACTGTGCCTGGCCGAAGTTTGTTGTCTTTTAAAAGTAAAGCAGAGTGTCCTCTTCTCATCTGTCTACCTGTTGCTTGTGTTCTCTTTCTCCCTCCATTATAGTCTCTGCCGTTTTCCCCTGCGCAAAGAGCAAAGGAATGTGGAATCAGTCAGCTCTGGGTTCAAACCTGGGGCCCACCCTCCTTTTACTAGCTGTGTGATCTTGGGCAAGTGTCATATGCTCTCTGAACCTCAGTTTCCACACCTGTAAAATGGGATCACTGGTAAAACTGTTATGAGGCTTCCTCAAGAGTCCTCTGCAAACAGCACCCTTGGTTGTTTCTTCCGTTCACTGGTTTTCTCTCCTTGAGTTTCCTTTTCTGGATGGGCCCCTCTGGCTCCTCTCTGCTCCAGCATCTTTATATCTTAGTTTCTTCCCTAAGGTTTCCCCTTGATTTCTTCTTGCTTCTGCCTCCCTCTCCCTATTTAATTATCTGTGTCCGATTCTTGCCTGCTCTGTGTCTTTTGGTCCCTTTCCTAATTCAGCGTGGAGCTCATCAGCTCTCACAAGAGAGGAGACTAAGAGCCCAGGAACTCTCAGCTCAACTCTACCTCCTCCAGCCCCAGGGCAGCTTCAAGGTGTGCCCATCTCAGCATGAAGCCAGCTAGGAGAGGGGGCAGGGCACAGGGAGGGCCTCCATATACCTTGAACTCTTACGCTCTGTTCAGTGTCACTGCCCAGGGGTCAGACCCATCTGCCCATGACTTTCCCTACTTCAGCAGTCTTTCTAGCTGGAGCTGTTAAAACAAAACAAAACAAAACCAAACCCAGAGATCAGAACTTATTACTCCTTATTACTCTTCTGCTTAATTACTCCACTTCAGTGGCCACTCGTTGCTCTTAGGGTTGAACCTCAAGCCCCTTCCTTGCTCATAGTTTCTTGCCTGACCTACAGACCCTGCTGACTTATTCAGCTGCACCTGGCTCCCTTCTGCCCCCGACTCACTCCATGCCAGCTGCCTGGCTTCCTTGCAGCTGCTTGTACCCACCAGCTCCTGCCTTTGCACAGGCCCCTCTGACTGCATGAGGCCCCACTGATTTGCATGAGGTTATCTCCTTCTCATACTTCAGGTCTCAGTTCAAATGGCACCATGTCACTTCTACAGCAAAGCCCTCTTGGACCACTTATTTAAAGGAGATGCCCCTTCCCTATCTCTTTATCAGTATACTGCCTCGTTTCCTTTAGCATGCATATATTAGATGGTAATGATATATTTATGTACATGTTTGCTGTTGGGCTCTCCCACTAGAATGTAAGCTTCATGAAGGCTAGGACCATTTGCTTTTCATTCATTCCATCCATTCAGTATTTACTGAGCATCAGTTACATGCCAGAGGCTGGGCGCAGTGGCTCATGCCTGTAATCCCAGCACTTTGGGAGGCGGAGGCAGGTGGATCACCTGAGGTTGGGAGTTCCAGACCAGCCTGGCCAACATGGTGAAACCCTGTCGCTACTAAAAATACAAAAATTAGCCAGGCGTGGTGGTGGCTGCCTGTAATCCCAGTTACTTGCGAGGCTGAGGCAGGAGAATTGTTTGAGTCTGGGAGACAGAGGTTGCAGTGAGCCAAGACCGCGCCATTGCACTCCAGCCTGGGCAACAAGAGTGAAACTCCATCTCGAAATAAAATAAAATAAAATAAAAAAAATGCCAGATACTGGGCACTGAAATACAAGATGAATCTTTTCCCAAGGGAGCTTATTTCTAGAGGTGGAGACAGATAATGTATTCATCATATAGCCCATGCTCTGTTTGAGATTGCAACAATTCCCCTTCCCTTCCCTGTCCCCCCACCACTCTCAAATTTCCTGGTATATGAGACCGTGATAAGGGACATACACCAGAGGGTTTGCTTTTTTTTTTTTTTTTAGTTGTTTACTCTTCTTGTTTTCCCACTGGGATGTAAGATCCATGAGAGTAGGGAATTTTTGTTTCTTTTATATCTCTACCGTAGCCTATAGTAATTGTAGAATAAATGAATAGACCCTAGTAAATATTTGTTGAATGAATAGGTGTCTGGATGGGAGGCAGGTCTCAGCCCCTATTTAATTCAAACCGAACAACCTTGATTCAAATCTTGGTGCTGCCAAATCCTGTTGCATAACAGTATCTATGCAATATAATTGTTGCATACCTAATATATGATGATTAAATGAGTCCACGTGGGTAAAACACATAGAAGGTACCTGGTCTTACATAGTAATGAGCAACGAGTTTGCAGATCACAGTTCAAGGGCTTGTTCTGGGTAGAGGCCCAAATATATTTAACCTGTGTAGCCTGAGGATAGAGTAGGACCAGTGAGGGTTAGTGAGGGTGGTAGACTCGCACGTCGTGAAACGATAAACTTTCTAAAAGCCGGCGTTTCCAAAGCCCCAACCACCGCTCTTGGCAGGTGATGAGCGAGCGCCCTGTTCCTGGAGGTATGTAGAACACGCATTTGAAGGCGCCAAGGTAGAAGGGATTCAGGCATCGGATGGGACAGAGGCCGGGTGTCCCTGGGTCATTGTCCCTGAGAGCGCTGTACGAGAGCTAGGCGTGGGCCATGAGCGTGCTCGCCTGGCAGTGTTGGTGCCCGGTCCGTGGAGAGGTCCGTGGGCGTCCAGGCCCAGCCGCGGGGCCTCATGGCGGGGAGGATGCGGGAGCGGGGGAGGGGCGCGCCGGGGCTAGCGGGCTGCCGGACCCGCCTGCAGCACCCGCCGCGGCCAGCAGGGAGCGCCGCGAGACCGCCGAACCCGCGGCCGGGCCTGACGTCAGCGCCCCGCTTGCTCCGGCTCCCGCTCTGGACTCGGCGCCAGTCCCGCTCCGCGCCGCGCCGCTCCGCTCCAGCTAGGGCTCCGGCTCGCCTCTGGCTGGGCTCGGGCTCCGGCGGCGGCGTCCCCCGCGCCGGGCCCCGGGACGGGCGGCGGCGCTCCAACCATGGCCAGTGCCCAGGCGCTCGTGCTGGCGCTCACCTTCCAGCTCTGCGCGCCGGAGACCGAGACTCCGGCAGGTAAGCGCGCGGCGGCCGGACCGAGCCTGCCCCGCCGAGCCTCGGGGCCCGTGGCGTAGCTCGGAAGAAAGTGTGAGTGTTGAGTGACCAGGCGTTACGAGCGTGCTCCCTGTGTGTGTCTGAGCGTAGGATGGGCGATTGTGTGCCCGGGGTGTTGCGTGACTGCGAATGTTGTGTGTCCCTGAGTTCTGTGCGCAAGAAAAGGTGATGTGTGTCTGCGAGTATGTTGGGGGTGAATGTTGTGTGCATCGAGGCATTGGGTGTGCGCTGAGTGTCTTGTGGGTCTGCCAGTGTGTAGTGTTTGTGTGGCCAAGTGGGTTGTGTGTGTATCTGAGTTTGGTTGTGTTGCGGGAGTTGTATCTGCTAATGTGTTGCATTTGTTTGTATTTTGCATGCAGTGGCTGGGAGTGCTGTTTGTTTTGTGTCTGAGAATGGGTTGTGTGTTTGTGTTATGCCTGTGGCCGGGGGTGCTCTCTGGATCCCGCCTGAGTGTGGATCCGGGAACCCGTGTGTGGCGTGTGTGCTTTTGAGATCCGTGTACATGTGTGAAGGCGTGGGAACGGGTCCGGAACGTGTGTGTCCGTGCGCTGTGTACGTGCGGGGAGTGCCTGGGGTATGTGGTGTGTGCCGCCGGGGGCCGCGTGGGTCCGAGTGAATGCCAAGTGTGCCGGGAATGCGTGTGTGGGAGCGAGTCTGGAGCGGATGTGAGTGTGTGCGAATGTGTTCGTGTGTGCTGGCTGCGCGTCCAGGAATGTTGCGAGTGTGGAGCGCGCCTGGGCCGCGGCTGCGAGTGTGCCCTGGGCCCGGGGCCGCCCGAGGGGGCGGTGGCAGGACGTGTGTGCGCGCGTGTGCGTGTGCGCGTGTGTGGCGCGCTGGGCCGGAACAAGTTGTCGCGGCGGCGCCCCCTGGGCAGCCCGGGTCGGGCAGGGCCCGAGGCTCAGGGGAGGACCGGGCCCCGCAGCCGCCGCCTTGGGCATGTCGGACTGTTTGTTGTTTCGCAAGTTCCGCGCGGCGCTGGCGGGCTGCTGATCCGAGGCGGCGCCTGGGCTGCGGGGCGCCCGGGCTAGCGGGGGCCCGGCGAGGGGCCGGCGGGCGGAGAGGGGAGGGCTGGGCCCGCGGGCGCTCCTGCGGTGGCCCGGCCGCGGCTGCGCCCCGGGCGGCCGGGCGGGGGCTGTCCCCGGGCTGGGCTGCGACGTCGGGGCGCGGGCAGGGCCTGGCTCGCTGCCGGGGGACGGCGCCCCCTCCCTTGGCGCGCAGGACGCGCTGGGGACGCCCGGGCCTCCCAGGACACTCCCTCGGTGGAGCCCGCAACTTTGGGCGGCCTCCCGGCCGGCCGGGACCGCCAGGTGTGTGCGTGAGTGAGTGTGAGTGTGAGCGTGTGCCTCCGCGCTTGTCTGCTGTGTGGTCGCGTTCTTCGGGTGTGTTTCGGAGTCTGGTGTGTTTTGGTGTGCGTGCGCGTGTGTGTTAGCGCAGCTGAATGTTTGTATACGGAGCCTGTGTTTGTGTGTCCGTGTGCTCGTCGGAGTGTGGACGGTGTTTCGGTGTGTGTGCGTGTGCGTGTCCTACATCCCACCCTGAGGCCTGGGATCCTAGACCACGGCTCCTTCCCGCGGAGTTTCGGGGCCCTGCTCCCGGTGACCTCCCCCACCCTCGCCACCGGTGGAGCTGCTCCGCGGGCTGCGGGTAGCCGGGAGACGCCCGGGGCGGGATCCGAGCCGAGACACGTGCCGGAGCGGAGCCGCCTCCTCGCGGTCGCCAGCCGCAGACAACTGACCTCCCCGGGATCGCGTTCGCGGCCCTACTGCCGCCTCCGGTGTCTTGGGCCGGAACTCCCGTGGCTGCCGCGTAGTGGCCAGCGCTTGGGCCTCGCCCTGCAGCTCTCCGGGGCCATAGGGCAAAGCTTTAGCTTTGACCTCCCCCGTGCCAGAAAGGACGCCCAAGGCGACCTCCCTCCCCATCCTCCCCAACTTCTCTCCCTGTCCTGCAGCAACTTTGCCTCCCCCTCCCACCGTGAGATCAAACCCAAGGGGTACTGTATGCGCCCCACCCCGGCTCCTACCACCGTCGCTTTGGTTTCAAGAACACTCACAAGCCCCAAGCCCTGCCAACAGGAGGACTGTCAGGAACTGAAGTTTGGGAGTGAGGCCTAGAGCAGGTTACTCCCATTCTTGATGCCTCAGTTTCCTTCTCTGCCTCATAGCCTTCATGATAATGGTGTATGGCACTTTTGGTAGATAGCAAGTACCTTGTAAAGTAAGGCTATGTCTGTGAGTGCCAGGGAACAAAAAATGGATTTGAGAGTTGTTATAAAGCCCCAGAGGCTGTGATTTAAAGCTGGGGGATCTGGGGTTCAAATTCTGCCTCTGCTACTTGCTGTCCATGTGACCTCTGGCAAATCACTTCATTTCTAAAGTTCCTGGCCCCCTTTGTTACTCTTAGAGATGAACTCAGAAGCCCAAGTAGAATAGATGTGATATCCCCTTGTCTCCAGTCTGGACAGAGTCAGCCCAGCTCCCTGAATGCCCAAGGAGCTTCTGGGTAGGGGTAGTGTGTCATGCCTTCTCAGCCTTGCAAACCTGGTAGTTATTTATTCTGCTGTGTTCTCGCTATTTTGTCCTTTTGGTGGCAGGAGTTGTGGACGGCAGGAATGAGGGAGCGGCTGCCCAGTGGTTTCAGGTTAGGCAATAAAGGCTTGTCTGGGCATTCCTCCATTTTACCTGGGGCTGGGGGAGGGGACTTAGCAGGAAGCAGTGACAGTGGCCAGGGTGGGGACGCTGAGCTCCTGGACAGCCTGCTGCCCAGCTCTGGTGTCAGAAAAAAACCCTAGGACAAGCATCATGCTTGATGGAGACAGGCCACCATCCTTCCATGATTTTCATCAGCTAAGCTGGGTGTGTGGGGTGGCCTTCCCCATGCAGGGCTGGGTTAGCCAGAGTTGCAAGGGGTGCCTTATGCTCCTCTTTCCTCCCGCTGCCCCCTTTTCTCCTCCTAGTCGCCCTCCTGCATACTGGAATGTCCTGTCTGCCCTCTCAGAGACTCTTTAATCTGTCTCCTTCTGTCCATCCTCAGCTATCTTTCACCTGCAGGAAGGCTCCAGCCTCCTCCTTCCCTCCTTGTGCCAGGGATCTTCGTACAACACATTTTAACTCAAAGGGTTTAAAACCCTTTGAAGGCTCCCCATTGCCTTCAGGATGAAGTCCTTATCCCTTGGCCCTGTTGCTGACTCTGGCACCTGCCCGCCTGTCCAGCTGCATCTTGTTTTGTGTCACTTCCCCTTGCATCCTATGATCTGGCCAGCCTGACCTTCTTCCCAAAGACTCAAATGCCCACAGCCTGCCGTCTCCTCTCTGGGCTTTTGGGCAAGCTGTGCTTTCTCTGCAGAACTTTCTAACTCCAGCTCTTCGCTGGTGAACTCCTGCAACCTGATCGGCTCTCAGCTCTAATCATCATCCACTCCCTGAAGCCTTCCTTGGTGATGCCCTGTCCTAGCCTAGGAAGTGGGGGGTGGGGGTCATAGGATTTTTACATAGCATTGTAATTATTGTAATTACAGTTTATTAGTGCCGTCTCCCTTACCAGACTGAGAGCTGAGGACAGAGACTGGGTTTTTAGTCTACTTCTGAATCCTCAGTGCCAGGTACAAGGCCTGGCCCACCGGGTCTGAATAAATATATATGGCCTGAAAGAATAGTTTAAGGGAGTCAAGTTCAGAGGTGGAGATGCCAGATGGGGGCGCACTGATTCCACTGAAGGTAGAGATTGAAGAACGAGGTTTTCCCTCCAGGAATCTGGAAAATTCCTGGAGGGTGGGGGGTGGTGTTATGTTGTGAAAAGGCCATGTTGAGAGTGTCATCTGGGAGCTTTGAGTTGGGGAGGTTAAGTCCCTGGCAAGAGACTGAAGGGAATGGGCCTGTTGCCTGCCAGCCCCTCCCCCAGGCTCCAGCCCCACCCCTGGCAGCTGGCAGGGCCTTTCCAGCCCTCAGTCTCAGCCTTTTGTGAGGGGACCTGGCAGTTGGTGAGGCATTGAGTCTCAACGGTCTGCGTGAGTGGCTGAGGAGGGGGGAGGGAGCCCGCAGGGCCCTGTGTTAGGAGTGGGAGGGGAGCTTCCTGGAAGACCCTCCCTCAGTCCTCAGTCCTCAGTCCTAGATCTTAGGGTGGGCAGGTGGTGTCACAGCCTCTGTTCTGACCGCTTGTGCACTGGAGGGAAGGGAGAACTGGGTCCCGTGGTGGTCCTGGCAGATGGGGTTGGCGAGGCTGGCTGAGGTGTGTGCAGATGTGACTCAGCATCTGGGCAGTCAGAGTAGGTGGTGTGTAGGGATTGTAACTAGGGGCATGGACACATGTGACCTGTTAGGGTGTCTAGTCGTCTGGTTATCGTGGTGTGGCAGGATCTGAGTTTGGAGGAGGGAGGTAACCAGTTGCTTTGACCCCTGGGGAGCCTGGTGCTGAGGGTGTTTGGCTATTCAAGTATCACATTCCTGGAGTTGGGTGCAGAGCCATTTGGATGGGTGGTGTCTTGGTATCTAGGTGTGGACATCCCAGTACCCTCGTGTGGGAGGATCAGGGTGTGCAGACAGAGGCTATCCCAGCATCCCTGGGTCTGGAGGTGGGTGTATCCATGTGTCTGGGAGTCCTCAGGTTAGTGGGTATTTAAGTGGGGAGTGTCTCTGTGTTGTGTCCAGGTATGGGGCTGGCCAAGTGCCTGAGTGTCCAGTTTTAGGGCTCCCCAAGTATCTGGGTATCTGAGGGTGGGGGTGTCTGTGTATGAAACAACAGGGACCCAGTCATTGAAGTATCAAGGTGTTAGTGAGTCTGGGTGTGGGGTGCCATGTGTCTATTTTTTTTTTCCTTCTTCTTCTTTTTTCTTTTTTTTTTGAGATGGAGTCTCGCTTTGTCACCCAGGCTGGAGTGCAATGGCACGATCTTGGCTCACTGCAACCTTTGCCTCCTGGATTCAAGCGATTCTCCTGCCTCAGCCTCCCGAGTAGCTGGGATTACAG